AGCCAGGTGTGGTGGAGTCCACTTGTAGTCCCAGCTCCTCGAGAGGCTGAAGTGGGAGGATCAGTTGAGCCCAGGAGGTAGAGGCTGCAGTGAGGCAAGATCGTTCCACTGCACTCCAACCTGGGCAACAGAGTGAGACCGTCTCAAAAAACAACCCCCCATCCTACCCCACGCCCCCCCCCCCCGCAAAAAAAAAAACCTCTAAGTCAAGGGGCTTGAGAGCTATGTCTTGAAGAAGAGGAAATAATGGTTTACCTCTGTATTATGTAAACAGAGGTAAACCCTTACCAAACTGTGCTTAATAATGCCTGAGTCAGGGTAGTGGCTCTCATGCTGGTATCGCCAATGCTAGCAACTAAATTGCATGTAAGTGGCCCTAAAAAATGTGTGCAGAAATACCAGGGGGCCTTAACCTCCCTGGGCATCAGGTGTGGACAACGTTCACCTGCCGTGACCCTGCCAAAGTTGAGTGTCCGGTGTGGCTGGTAATCCTTAGAGACGGCTGCTCACAGCAGGGTCCACCCCGAGGCCCCGGGCGCTCTGGTGGTGTCTCTGAGCATGCCGACCAAGGTCCACCTTCCCCAGACCCCCCACCCCCCAACCCCGGACCCAGCCTTCCACAGCTCTGCCCCCCCTCCCCCCCCCCCCCCCCCCCCCGCCGCCCCGCACACCCATGCCCCAGCCCGGCCTCACCTGGTGGCTGGTCCTCCCGGAAAAGCAGGATGATGCCCAGGCTGGCCGCGTACTCCGTGAGCAAGGACACCGCCTGGCTGGCGGGGGGATCCTTGAGTGGCAGGCTCAGCCCTGCGGGGGGCACAGGAACCCTCGTGGCCTTCCCCATCTGTTCCCCCACGTTTTCCCACGCCCGGGCTGCCCCCAGCTCTCCTACTCTGGCCCCTGCCGCAGGCCCACTGTCCCCCAACACCGAGGCCTGGGGCCGGCCGCCCCCCGCGTGGTCCTTTGCGGGCGCGGGCTCCCAGACACCTTGGGCCTGGGGCAGCGGCGGTTGCCAGGCACGCGGCCCAGGGCTCATCTGCAACGATGCAGCCAGGCGGGGCTTTCTGCGGCTGCAGTCATCTGCGCCCTGAGAAGCCGAAGCCATAACCAGCAACGGAGAACCGAAGCGCTAGATCCTGTATCGCGCTGCTCACGCCTTTTTTACACGCCCAGGGCGGGTTACCTCACGTGGGGAGCACGCGGCCAACAGCACGTTGTGGGCTCCACCCCTGCCCCGCCTCTGGCCAATGAGAGTCCTTAGATCTGTGACCGACAGTGCACCCTGCCAATGGGAAGGCCAGTCTCCCAACCGCATCCGGAGGGCTGAGGCAAACGTCCCACTGCCCGGACGGAAGTTCCGGCGGATGGGTGCGGGGCTCTTCTGGCAGCCGCTTCTCTAACCGCGCGTGGTGCGGGTGCCTGGAGAGCGTGGGAGGCAGTTCTGGGGGCCTCGGGTCTAACCTCACACTCTGGCTCCTGCCCTAGGCCCCTAGGCCCGCCCGCATCACGGCGCTGCCCAGCTGCTTCACTGCCTGAACCTGGAGCCCTCAACGCCACAGAGGCGGGGTTCACACTATCGCAGCAAGGTCCGCACTTTAAAATTGAGCTGAGATTGCGCCACTGCACTTCAGCCTGGGCGACAGAGAGACTTTGTCTCAAAAAAGAGAAATAGAAATTAAAAAAAAAATAACCATTTGACACCCTGCCTTTTTTCCCTGTAAGAAGGAGTTTTGAGTTGTTTTCAAACAAATACCACAAGAGAGCAATCCTTTAAGGTGAGGAGTCATAGATCAAGAGAAACAGGAAAAATGGGATGAAAAAGACAGGGATGAGGACAATTCACACAAGGCCTACTGTGATGCAACACATATCTGAGTCTCATAGCAGCCACAAACTCGGGAATCATGACCAGTGTTTGTAAGATTTGTCACAGTGGTTTCTGCTGCTGCTGCTGAAGCTGGGCCCGGCAGTGCTCACCAGGATTGTGACAGTGAGGATGCAGGGGCATATGAGGAGCAGGTGGCGTCTTCCCAGAACCTTTGACTTGGGAGGAGCAGGTGTGGTGGGCTGGGCAGGTTCAGCCTCCCAAACACGTCAAGGATTGGCATCAGGAAGGACAATTCGATTTTGTGTGTGCGTGCAGCCCAGAGAGTGGGATTAGGCCCAGGAGAGTGAAGGGACAGCATGGCAGATATCCAGAAAAGTCTGCACATATGCACAGAGTGACTTCCACAAAGTCATCAATGCAGTCACGTACGTACCAAATGCTCGCCAACAGGAGGGTGCGTGACCAAATAAATGGTGGTATATTCACACAACAGAACATGACTCTAATTTAAAAAGGAACCAGCAGCCGCATGCACAACACGGGTGAATCTATTAGGCACATGGCACAGAAGAAACCAGACACATCCCCTGCATGATTCCACTTATGTAAAGTTCTTGAACTGGCAAAACTCATCTATGGTGATGACAGCCCAAATAGTGGTCCCTTCTTGAAGGAAGTATCAACTGGAAATGGCACCAGAGAATTTCTTTTTTGAAAAAAAATTTTGTAGAGACAGGGGGTCTTGCTATGTTGCCCAGGCTGGCCTTGAATGCCTGGACTTAAGCAACCCTCCCACCTCGGCTTCCCAAAGTGCTGGAATTACAGGCATGAGCCACCATGCCTGTCTGGAACTTTCTTGAGTGATGGAAATGTTCTCTGTCTTGATCTGTGTGGTGTTTATGTGGGTTTCTATGTATGTATGCATTAATAAAAACTCAATGAGCCGTACACTTTAAGACTTGTGCACTTCACTGCATGTTAAGTATATGTCAGTTAAAAATGCAAATTGACAGTGGCTTATTCAGAGAAAGGAGGGAAGGAAGAAGTGGAATTGGCCTCCCAGTGCCAAAGCTGGATATGTGTTTTATAAGGGTAATGTGGAATATTAATGTGGTAGGCAAAGTAATGGTTCCCCAAAGATGGCCTCAGGGGGCCACATGCGGCCCGCGGGCCGTAGTTTGGGAACGCCTGCTTTAAAGCAACTATTCAGCCTAATCCCCAGAACCTACTAGTATTTTATTTGGCAAGAGGGAATTAAGGTTGCAGGTGGAGGTAATGTTCCTAATCAGCTGGCTTTAAAATAGGGCTCATACCTGTAACCCCAGCACTTTGGGAGGCTGAGGTGAGAGGGTAGCTTGAGCCCAGGAGTTCGAGACCAAACTGGGTGACATGATGAAACCCCATCTCTACCATGCAAAAAATTAGCCAGACATGGTAGTGGGCACCTGTAATCCCAGCTAATCAAGAGACTGAAGTTGGAGAATGATCTGAGCCTGGGAAGTTGAGGCTGCAGTGAGCCATAATGATACCACTGCATCCCAGCCTGGGTGATAGAGTGAGACCACGTCTCAAATAAACAAAATAAAACAGGGAGATGATGATTCTGGATTACCTGAGTGGGGCCACGGTAATCACATGGGTCCTTATGTGGGAAAGAGGGAGACAGAAGAGTCAAAACCAGAGAGATAGCCTCATGAGAAGGATTCGACTGGTACTGCTGACTTTGAAGATGGAAAAGGGTCATGAAGCAAGGAATGGAAGCAGCTTCCATAAGCCAGAAAAGGCAAGACAGTGGACTCTTCCTTAGAGCCTCCCAAAGGGAACACAGCCCTGCCGACACTTTTAGTCCAGGTAAAAACTCCCAGATAAAAATGATATAGGCCAGGCAAGATGGCTCACGCCTGTAATCCCAAGACTTTGGGAGGCCGAGGCGGGTGGATCACTTGAGGTCAGGAGTTCGAGACCAGCCTGCACAACATGGTGAAATCCCATCTCTACTAAAAATACAAAAAGTAGCCAGGCATGGTGGCATGCACCTGTAATCCCAGCTACTTGGGAGGCTGAGGCAGGAAAATTGCTGGAACCCAGGATGCAGAGGTTGCAGTGAGCTGAGATCACGTCACTGCACTCCAGCCTCCATCTCAAAAAAAAAAAAAAAAAAAAAAAACCTATAGATGACAGTTGGAGAATTTGGAAATTGATTCTTTAAAGCAGGCGTCCCCAAACTTTTTACACAGGGGGCCAGTTCACTGTCCCTCAGACCGTTGGAGGGCCGCCACATATTGTGCTCCTCTCACTGACCACCAGCGAAAGAGGTGCCCCTTCCTGACGTGCGGCGGGGGGCCGGATAAATGGCCTCAGGGGGTCACATGCGGCCCGCGGGCTGTAGTTTGGGGACGCCTGCTTTAAAGCAACTATTCTCAAAGTGTGGTCCCTGGACCAGCATCATATGGGAACTTGCTAGAAATGCAGACGCTTGGGCCGCATCCCAGATCTACTGAATCAACAGCTCAGGAGGCAGAGGTAGGCTGAAACCTAGCAAACTTGCAACAAGCCCTCCAGGTGGATCTGAGGCTCTCTCAAGCTTGAGAAGTACTGGGTTAGGATAACAGTGAGGTTTACGACTGGACAGTGGTTCTTAAAGCATGGCCCCCAAATAAGCAGTCTCAGCATCACCTGGGAACTTGGGCAAATTATCAGGCCCCACCCCAGACTCACCCAATTGGAGACCATGTTTTAATGAGCCCCCCCAGGTGCTTCTGCTGATGCACACTTGCTAGACTTTGAGAACCACTGCCCACAGCTCTCCCTGCCTGACCAACCCTTAAAAAGCCTCACTCTCAGGAGGTATTTGTACTCTTACTTATAAAGCCTGCTTCTTAGGATTTAAGGACAATCACTAGGATACCTACTGACTAATACAGTGCCTGGCTTATCGTAGGTGCTCCGTAACAGTTCGTTAAATGATTAATTTGATACAACGCCGAGGAAACTGGTGAAGCAGATGTAGGATTCGAACCTACAATCACTCAGCCTCCACTACTTCCGCCGCGCACGCGCCTCCCGAACGCCCATTCCCTCGCCACCCGGGAGGGGCCCGTCAGGACCCTATGAGGCCAGGCTGGGAGGCAGGACTTCCTGCCTTCCCAGGAGGCACTTCCGGTCTAAACCGGAAGTTTGGCCGCGGCGGGGCTGAGTGCCGGATCTGTGGTTGTAGTTGGTTTCCCTCGTGGTGTCGCGGTTGGGTGAGCTTCGCGCCGCGGCCCGTTTTCTTGAAGATCAGGACCGGACCCGGGCCACGTAAGTGCATGTGCCTCCTCCGCGCGGACTGGGCGTGTTCGGGAGGAATGCACCCGCAGATGGAGGGACGGAGTAATCCCCGAATCCCCCGTCCCCGCGGCAGGCTCACGTTTCGCCGTCCCCGGCCTGGCGTTCGCGCGGACCCGACGGAGTCCTGAAGCCTCGAAAGTCTAAAGGGGCCTGGAGAGCCTGCGGCGAGGGCGGGAAGCCGGCCAGGGAAGTCGAGGCTGCCTCGTCCGAGGGCTTTTGCGGGGTCGTGCGCTCCACCAGCGTCCTCCACCTGCGAAGGATCGTTTCAGGTTGTGCGGTTCCGAGGGAAAATACTTTTGTTTCTGTTTTGTTGTTGAGACAGAGTCTTGCTCACTCACCCAGGCTGGAGTCCTGTGGCATGATCTTGGCTCACTGCCACCAGCGCTTCCCGGATTCGAGCGATTCTCGTTCTCCAGCCATCCAAGTAGCTGCGTTTACAGGTGTGCGCCACCACGCCCGGCAGATTTTGTTATTTTTAGTAGAGACTGGATTTCACTATATTGGCCGGGCTGGTCTCAAACTCCTGACCTCAGGTGATCCGCCCGCCTTGGTCTTCCCAAGTGCTGGGATTACAAGAAGGAGCCACCGCACCTGGCCAAAGGGAAAAGGTTTTTGTTTAGTGAGATCCTAATGCTAGGCTTCGCATTTCGGTGCATGGGAGAGCAGTGGTTCAGAGCTCTGCCTCTGAATCAGATGCGAATCAAGTCTTGGCTGTGGCGGCTTAAGAGCTGTTGTACTGAAGTTCTTGCAGAGCCTTAGTTTCTTGAACTCCGTAACAGGGTCGACGATAGAACAGGAAAGCTAAATTAGCAGGGGCCTGGCAGATAGATGGCTGGCTGTTGGTCCGTGAGCCCTGCTGTTATTTCTCCCCGTTATTTTTGCTAATTAATAAGGAGGGATAATATGGCTACTCAAACTTCCAGAGGACTGTGGGGTTTTGTTTTGTTTTTTGTTTTTGTGGGGTTTTTTTCAGATGGAGTCTTGCACTGTTGCCCAGGCTGGAGTGCAGTGGCACACTCTCGGCTCAATGCAACCTCCGACTCCTGGGTTCAAGCGATTCTCTTGCCTCAGCCTCCCGAGTGGTTGGGACTACAGGCACGTGCCACTATGCCCGGCTGATTTTTTGTATTTTTAGTAGAGACGGCGTTTCACCATGTTAGCCAGGGTAGTCTGGATCTCCTGACCTCGCGATCTGCCCACCTTGGCCTCCCAAAGTGCTGGGATTACAGGTGTGAACCACCGGGCCCGGCCCAGGATTATGTGCTTACCAAAGCCTTGTGATATTAAAAAAAAAAAAATTTTTTTTTTTTGAGATGGAGTTTTGCTCTGGTGCCAGGCTGAAGTGCAATGGCGCCATCTCGGCTCACTGCAACCTCCGCCTCCCGGGTTCAAGCAATTCTTCTTTCTCAGCCTCATAAGTAGCTGGGATTGCAGGCATGCACCACCACACTAGCTAAGTTTCTATTTTTAGTAGAGATGGGGTTTCTCCGTGTTGGTCAGGCTGGTCTCAAACTCCTGACCTCAGGTAATCCACTCACCCGCCTCAGCCTCCCAAAGTGCTGAGATTACCAGTGTGAGCCGCCGCGCCTTGCCCCTTGTGATATAATTTTATTTTTATTCAACTCATAGTGCATTTTCTGTGGGGACGCTATGCTTGCCAGTAGGAAGATGGTAATAGATGCAGTCCCTGGCTGTGGAGTAACTCGAGCTTTATCTTGGGAGTGCGTGTAGTCTAAATGTGTGATGACGGTGCTTAGGAGCTGTGTGAGAGGCTGCCCCTCCCACGATCTGGCTTCATCACCGCCTTCCACCTTGCTCGCTCTGTGGCTGCCTCGTTGTTCCTCACACACTTCACTACTCCAGGATTTTTACACTTGTCATCGTTCTGCCTGGAACCCTCTCCCCAGTCGTGTACGTGGCTCTGTCCCTCACTAGGTTCAGGCTGTGCTCAAATGCCACCTTCTCAACAAGGCTTTTCCTGGCTGTCTTTGCTGAAACAACACCCTGGGCCGGTTACCAGATCCAGTTCTCCTGGATGGGTGGCTAGCTTTAATACAGTTCCCATTACTGCTTGGCATTGGGCTATATATTCTTTTTTTTATTATTATCTGCTTCCTCAAAGAACACATGCTTCTCATAGTGCCCTCTTCACTCCTCAGGAACCCTGGCGCCCCTTACCAGCTTCCAGTCTCTCGAGGCAGCCAGCGTGCTGCTTGGTCCTTGTTCCCAAGATGGACTTTCCCAGCTCCCTCCACCCCACGTTGTTTATGACTGGCCCCCTTGGTGTGAACGATGCCTCTGACCTGTCCTTCATGTGCAGCTGGCAAAACACGCTGACTCTGCCAGAGGCCCAGCCCCAGAACTTGAAGGTAAGGATGGAGGCAGGGGCCCTGGCAGCTCCAGGGTGCACCCCTTCCCTGGTTCCCCATCTAACATTCACCCCAGTTGACAAGGCCACAGAGTAGAGTGGCATTCTCACGAGTCTGCTGAGACACAGGCTGTGCCACCTCCTCGGGCACGTGGGCTACCCTGCCATCCCTAGATAGATGCGCCCACCATGCCAGATTCCTTATGAGGCCCTGGGAATGCTGCGTCAGTCAGCTGACCTCCTGCTTCTGGAACAGAGCTAAGTTGAGTGAGAATAAACAAGTGAACTTCATCCAGTGGATAAGGTGTTTACAAAATGTGATCAGAGCTTGGAGTGAAATCGAAAGAATGCCGAAATCCCAGTGTGGTGGGATTGGGAGAGGGAAGGATAGACCTGCCAGGGTTTCTGGTGCCTCTGGAGGGACACTGGCTCTTTGCTTGGAATCCTCAGCCACCTGGTTCCCCTTGGAGACACCCTGTCTAGAAATGGAGCCTGGCAGAGGCAAGCGGGTGAGCTAATAAAAACAGAGAGTGGAGCGGGGATTTAGTGGGTGGGAGTCAGGAATGGCCTCCTTACCAGGGAGGGTCTCACCTCAAATTGGGGCTTCTCTGGGAGTCTGGTTTGCTACCTTTTTTGTCCCCTGAGTGTTTCAGCTGAAATGTCTCAGGCCAGCCCAGCAAAGGGTGGTGGAGCCACCTACGGGCTCCCAGGGTGGCTGCAAGATCTCCTGGATGGAAGTGAGGTTAAGTGGGATACTACTGGTGGTGGGTGGGGCTTCCTTCCCTGAGAGCCGGCCCAGTTGGAAAAACGAGCTCTGGGGTGAAGCTACCTGGGTTCACCTCCAAGCTCTTCTCTTTACTGGCTCTGTCATCTAGGGCACGTGGCAGTGTGCCTCAGTTTCTTCTTCAGTAAAATGACCATGCCAGCCGTCCCAGCTTCACAGGAGCGTTGTGAGGATTGGACGGGTTGATAGAAGATGAGTGCCTGTACAGAGCCCAGCCCAGGGAAGGTTCTCATCTCGGTACTGTCATTGTGACTGTCTTCCCTTCAGAATGGGGCACTGCACGTGACCAAGGACCTGCTGTGGGAGCCAGCGACCCCTGGGCCTCTCCCCATGCTGCCTCCCCTTGTCGGTGAGCGTCTTACTCCTCCAGGCTCACTCCATGCTGCTCCCCCCTCCTGAGACCTTCCTCTCCCTGCTGAACCTGTGCCCGCTCAGGACCCTTGGATGCCTCCATCTGGCTGGACTCCTGTGCCCACCCCCCAGCCCTTTCTGTACCTCTCCTCAGATCCCTGGGAACCTGGCCTCACAGCCCAGGACCTGCTTTTCCGAGGAGGGTACCGGTATCGGAGGCAACCCCGAGTCGTGCTGGATGTTACTGAGCAGGTGAGTGGGCCCACGGGGGGTAGTGCTGCGTCGTCCGGAGACTGCTTAGTGACCTGACCGCCTCTCCTCAGATCAGCCGGTTCCTCTGGGATCATGGAGACGTAGCCTTTGCACCCCTGGGGAAGCTGATGCTAGAGAATTTCAAGCTGGAAGGAGCAGGGGTGAGTAGCCCGTGATGCCAGGGTAGGGCCTCCCTGCTCTCCTTCAGGGGTGAACTCGAGGCTGTGTGAGCTTGACGAGGCCTTTCCATGCAGAGCCGCACTAAGAAGACGACAGTGGTCAGTGTGAAGAAGCTGCTCCAGGACCTCGGTGGACACCAGCCCTGGGGGCAAGTGGCTAATGAGAAAGGAGACCGCTAGGCCTAGTTGGTGGTGGGGATGTAGGAGGGTCTAGGATGCACATCCAGGTGTCCATCATACCCACTTCCCCTTGCCCTGTGCTTTCTGAGCTGTACTTTGTTAATGTCAGACTTTGAACTGCAAGTCATCTCGGGGGAAAGCAGGTTTAAATTTGTGGACTTCAGGCATGGCTGCATCCAGGTGTTCAAATAATATTCATAGAGCCGTGTCTCTCTTTGCTCTCTCATCCATGTACCTGTGCCTGCACAGTTCCTAGACAGCCTGTCTCTAGGTAGCAGCAAGATGGCTTATGATTGAAGGAAAGAGCCAGTGTCCTTCCTGAGGCATCAGAAGTCCCAGAAAGGACTTTGGTTGGCTTGGCTTGCATCTCACACCCATCTGTGAACCAGTCACTGTGGCAAGGGCAATGGAATGTTTTTGGTGGCCAGGTCAGGGTCATGTGATTGCTTCCAGGGCATGGGAACAGGATGGGGTGGTTTCTCAAAAGAAGTTCTAGATAAATAAGAAATATGTCCACTGCACTTGGCCTCCTTGGGATGGGACCCGTTCTCCCCTGAGTGCTGCTGAGCGATCCTCCTGCTGTTCTTTGGTGTCCCCAGGTGTCCCTGGGCTTACCTCAGCAACCGACAGCGCCGCTTCTCAATCCTTGGGGGCCCCATCCTGGGCACGTCGGTGGCCAGCCACTTGGCAGAGCTGCTGCATGAGGAGCTGGTGCTGCGATGGGAGCAGCTGCTTCTGGATGAGGCCTGCACTGGGGGCGCGCTGGCCTGGGTGCCTGGAAAGACACCTCAGTTTGGGCAGCTGGTCTACCCCGCTGGAGGCGCCCTGGACAGGCTGCGTATCCTTTCTCACGTGACGAGATCCCAGTGGGCTCCCCTCTGATGGAGGAGGTGCTGTTGGCATAGTTGAGGGAAGGGTAGGAATTCAGGGGATTTGCAGTGACCATAGCTCGTGCACTGATCCTTAGTGAGGGACCCAGATTTCCAAGAGGTCGTTCTGGCCCCAGGTGACAACCCCCAATTCCTTGGGAAACCCGGACGCATCCAGCTCCAGGGACCTGTCCGGCAGGTGGTGACAGGCACCGTCCAGGGAGAAAGTAAGGCCCTTACACACCTCCCTCCCTCGGTTGACCTGCTGTCTGACCCCTGATCCCTGACCCCTGACTCTCCATCCCTTCTCAGCTCTGCTGGCTGTCCGCTCTGACTACCACTGTGCTGTGTGGAAGTTCGGTAAACAGTGGCAGCCAGCCCTTCTGCAGGCAATGCAGGTGGAGAAGGGGGCCACAGGGATCAGCCTCAGGTGAGGGGGGAGTCAGGCCGGTGAGGAGGAGGGGCTGGGGGAAGGGGTGCACAGCTGGATGTTAATGCGTTCCTGCCCTGCAGCCCTCACCTACCCGGGGAGCTGGCCATCTGCAGCCGCTCAGGAGCCCTCTGCCTGTGGAGTCCTGAAAATGGGTATTGCCCCTTCCCGTGAAATCCTCCACCCTAACAGACTGAACGCCGGCCGGTCGCTCCCCGTTCTGCATGTTCTGACCCTTGAACCCCTTCCACATCAGCCTGTCCCCCTGCCCATGGCTTGCCCATCTCCCCAAGGCTGCAGCAAGTCTATAAGGACCCCGAGACCCTCGTGTTCCGGGACTCCTCTTCCTGGCGTTGGGCAGACTTCACCGCCCACCCTCGGGTGCTGACTGTGGGTGACCGCACTGGAGTGAAGATGATTGACACTCAGGTATGGGGTGGCGGCAGGAGACCTGCCGTGCCACAGAGCAGTGCGTGCCAGGCTGGCTGCGGGCCTGGGCAAGGATAGCGTCACAGGCCTGGGAGCGCGGGGAGGGCTGACCCTGTGTTTCTCTTCCAGGGCCCACCGGGCTGTGGTCTGTTGCTTTTTCGTGTGGGGGCAGAGGCTTCATGCCAGAAAGGGGAACGTGTGCTGCTCACCCAATACCTGAGGCACTCCAGCCCTGAATGCCTCCCTCCCACTCTGCATCTCGTCTGTACCCAGGTGAGTGGCACCCACACCGCCCAGCCCTGCCTCTGCTCTGTCTCAGATGGTCACTAGAGGCTGCGGCTTACCAGCGGCTCTGCTGAACCCACACAACCACAGGGCAAACCAGACTCAATCCTGGATGAATCTGTAGCCCAAACACTCAGTGGGTTTCACAGCTGATGATAACTGGCAGGTGGGGAATAGTAGGCTTCCAGCTGCTGCTAGGGCTGGAGCAGGGGCGGAGGGGCTTCAGGGCGGGGCCTCCGAGCCGAGCTGCACAGTTTCTGCTGTGCAGGAGGTGGGGGCTCTGAGGGAGCAGGTCAGCCTTCCACCCCGGTCCTTGGGACGTTTGTAGACGTGCCTCAGGCACAGACTCCGGGGTCAGGAGAGTGTGGGGGTGGCTTTGGGAAGTCCAGGCGGGTTTCTGCTGGCAAGACTCCCCCAACTCTTTGGGCACCCCTTTCCCACTTGTTCTGTCTGTCCACCCAGCTGTTGGTCAGACTTGGTGAAGGTGCCACCCACTCGGGAAGGGCCTCCTGTTCGGGGCTGGCAGGTGCAGGCTGAGAGGCACTTGGAGGCTGATGGGAGTGTGCTGCTGCCCCTTGGGACTCCGCACTCAGCAGGAGAGCCACGTGGGGCCTGGCAAGGGCTACTGCACAGCTCAGCTCCCAGGTTCGGCCACATCTCCCTTCTTTCTCGGGCCCCAGTTCTCTCTCTACCTAGTGGATGAGCGCCTCCCCCTGGTGCCGCTGCTGAAGTGGAACCACGGCCTTCCCTCCCCGATCCTGCTGGCCCAGCTGCTGCCTCCGCCCCGGCCCAGCCGTGTGCAGCCTCTGCTCCTGGGAGGCCAGGCCGGGCAGCTACAGCTGCTGCACCTGGCAGGTGAGGGTCCAGGCCAGGGTGGACGGCGTGTGGGAGATGGGGTGGGCGGGGCCTGGTTAGGACCTCAGCTGTCTGTCCTTCCTCAGGAGAGGGGGTGTCAGCACCCCGCCTGGCAGGGCCCCCCCAGTCTCTTCCTTCCAGGACCGACTCTCTCCCTGCATTTCCTCTGCTGGAGCCTAAGATCCAGTGGCGGCTGCAGGAGCGTCTGAAAGCTCCGACCATAGGTGTGCTGGGGGCAGGGTGCGAGTTCGGGGGTGGGGGGGCTAAGTGGAAAACACCCCCTCCCCCGCTAGACTCTGCAGGTCATTGTCATGCCCCTCTCTAGGTCTGGCCACTGTTGTCCCGCCCTTGTCCTCCACACCAGGCCTGGTGGTCTTCCAGCTCTCCGTGGCAGGAGATGTCTTCTACCAGCAGCTCCGCCCCCAGGCCGACTCCAGCGACACCAGACCTGACTGCCATGCCCCGACGGCTTCCTGGACCCCCCAGGACACTGCTGGCTGCAGCCAGTGGCTGAAGGCCCTGCTAAAGGTGCCGACAGCTCCTCCTATGTGGACAGCACCCACCTTCAACCACCACCACCTGCTGGGCAGCGTAGAGCTGCAGAGAGAGGAAGGGGCGGTGCAGCAGCCGGGCGTGCTGCGAGAGGCCATGGCCCAAGGTCGCCTCCTGCTGCAGAGAGACCTGGGCTCCCTCCCCATGGCAGAGCCACCCCCTGCACCCGAGCCAGGCCCAGCAGATGAGCTCAGTGAGCGCCTGGGGGAAGCCTGGGCAGGCCAAGGGGCTGCCTGGTGGGAGAGGCGGCAGCAGGCCAGGACCTCAGGGCCAAAGAGACAGCCCAGGCGGCCCAAGCGCCGGACCCAGCTGTCCAGCACCTTTTCATTCAGTGGCCATGTGGACCCCTCAGATGGCACCAGCCCCCCTCACAGTCCTGAGGGGCCACCTGCTGGTGCTCTGCCTCGGTCCCCCATGACGTCGCCCTCCCAGGAGTTGACTCCGGATACATGGGCCCAGGGCATCCCCTCAGAGCGGCGGCAGACCCTCCGTGACTACATGGCCAAGCTACCACTCCAAAGGGACATCCCAGGACATGCTGGCACACCCCCCTCCTCCCAGGCCTCCAGCACCCGGGCCACCCGCTCCCGGCAGCACACACCCATCCTCTCTGGCTCTCAGCCCCCCCGGAAAAAGCCTCGAATGGGCTTCTGAGGACACAGGGTGGGCTGCCTCCAGGCCCCAGAGAGCCCTCATCCTTCTCCACAGTTGAAACTTGGGAAGCAGAGCTCAGTACCTTCCAGAGGTGGCTGTGATGATGAGCCAAGCAGTTTGGAGCCAAGTTGAAGGGATAGGGCACAGAATGTAATCATTTTTTCTATTTTATATATTCACCTGAAGATCATTCCAAAAGGCAGCTTCGTGAGGTGCTGGCGGGCCTGTGTTGCTGGGATTCCAGTCTGTGCTGGCAGGCAGGGCTCCACTGCACTCCAGCAAGTGGCCTCAGACAGGTCCCTCCATTCTCGTGCCTTCCGTCCTCCAGCGAAAAGGGGGCAGTAGCGCTGCCTCCTCGTGTTTGGTGAGGCCCCTGCAGAGCTGCTGCTGAGGCAGGCACAGTGGCCGTCGGCAGCTGCCGTTTGGGGTGTTTCAGCCTCTCCCGAGATCAAGGGTTTTGTACGGGAAGACACCTGGTGGATCCCAGTTCAGGGATTGAATAAACTTGTCAACTAGACAGGAATTGGAGTGGTCAGATGTTTTAGTCTGGACAGCGTCCCCACACAGTAACTGAGCTCATGCACAGGTGGCTGATGTTCCTCTTCCCTCAGGACATGGGTCTGGCACCTGCGGGCTCTTCGTAATGCCCTCTGAATGCAGGGTCACAGTCACGTCAGTTTGGGAGAACTCCCCATTGTGCCTCACGGACTCCCCCCTTTTCTTTGCTCTCTCCCCTTCTCATTTTGATGTCCAAAGCATCAAGTCCCTGTTCCTCTGAGTTTCTTTAGCTGCAGTGAAGATTCTGCTTTCCTTTGGGGAAAATACCCACTTGAGATTTTATAGGGACCTGGGTGTGTCTGATTACATTTCTGGTGATACGGTAAGAGAAAGGTCTTTGTCAGGGTGGCTGATGAAAGGAATTGCATGTGACTCACTTGAACAGCAGACAACCTAATCATACATTGACTCATGTGGGTGTTAAAATGTTTATCATGCCTAAACGAGACATTTGTAATTACACCATTTGTGTTACGTAGAACCAGGGGAAAGTATGCTTTCAGGACTGGGAACGAGTCCACGTGGACAGGGAAGGGCTGGGCTGGGCAACTCCAGCACACGTGGAAGGAAGGGTCACCTGTGCTTTCTCCCTGTCACTGTGACGCCAAGGACTGGGGGATGGCCTTGGGGTTCAGTCCAAGTTGAGTGTCCTCAGTTGGGTGCGGTGGCTTATACCTTTAATCCCAGCACTTCAGGAGGCCGAGGCAGGCAGATGACCTGAGGTCAGGAGTTTGAGACCAGCCTGCCCAACGAGGTGAAACCCGTTTCTCCAAAAATGCAAAAATGAGCCAGTGTCGTGGGTGCCTATGATCCCAGCTACTTCAGAGGCTACAGCAAGAGAATTGCTTGAACCTGGGAGGCAGAGGTTGCAGTGAGCCAAGATCGAGCCACTACAATCCAGCCTGGGTGACAGTATGAGGCTGCCTCAAACAAAACAAAACAAAAAAATTATTCAGCGTCCTCCAGGCCTGCCCTGACCCGAGGCTCCACAGGCTCCAGCTCAGACCGTACTTCTTTCTTTTCTGTGCTGGTTCCTAAAGTGAAAGAGAAGGCCGCTCAGTGCTCCCGGGAGACGCACTCGGGCTGCTCCCTCCCTCCTGCCTGCAGCTCTGCCGGCAGCCAGGCAGCTGTCTTTAGAAGGAAGTCCAGCCACCAGTGCATTTTGGATGAGAGTAGAATGGTCTGGGCTCCACACAGCCCGATTCGGGGATGCATCTGAAGGCAGTTACCATATGAAAAAACAGCCCCAGCTTGCTTGTTCTCAGCACTAACCAGCTGCTCCCCAAAGCCACATCTGCCAGGCGTACGGGCCAGCCCACAGCATGAGGGGAGGCCCGGCTCATTCGGCATGTTTTCTGCATCCTCCGCAGCCAGGCCTCTGGCCACCATCCCTGCCTGATGCCCCTTTGCCTTCCCTGCCTTGAAGGCAGCTAAGACTGGCCTGTGATTCACCAGGGCCGGGGTCACTGTGAGGCAGCCACGCCCTGGTGTGGCTGTCACCTTGCCCCACAATCCCCAGCCATGGTGTCGGTGGTCCCCTCCAAAAGCCTGGTCTACAAAGTCTGAGGCCGGGGCCAGTGAGGAGTGGGTGGAAATGCAGAGGCTTCAGGCCCCCCACCGCAGGACATCTGCATGACTACAGGGGCTTCAGTTGCCCAAGAATAGGCTGGCTTAGAGTCTTCCTGGCCCAGGCTAGCTACCAGCAAGTGGCAGCTTCAGAGCCATGAACTTAGGACTGGGACCTTCAGAGGATCTGCATGGTCTGTCCTGGTTGATCCCTCCAGGAACAGGACAGCTCGGGGTGAAGGCCAAGCGACTGCCCTGCCCCAGCCATTGCAGGCTAGGGAGCCCACATCATCTCCACTGTGCTCTCTGCCCTGCGCTCTTACCTGGAGAAGAGGCTGCAAGGAAGTCGCTGTCCCTGTCTCCACTGGAAGTGAGGGGTGCAGCATCTCTTTGGCAGGTTGGGGGCATCCATGCTTGGCCAGAGGGCTCTTTGTCAGTGAGCTCCTGGATCAGGGGTCGTGGGCACTTGGTGTCTTGTTTTCGGATTTCCATGTCTCTCTCAGCTTCTTTTTTAAAGATGTCTGCGAAGGGCGCCCGAGCCTGCTTTGAGGTGTCTTTAGAGACTGCAAATATATTTGACAGGGTGTCTGCAGACAGGTTTTCCAGCATGGGGAGTGATGTGTAGTCCAGTTCAGGGTCACTGTCATCACTCAAGCTCGAGATGGCCTCAATCTTTGGAAAGCACATATTCTATTAACGGAAGAAAAGATGTGTTGGAAAGTTTCTGTTTGACGATGGAGTCGCTCTACAACGCAGCATGCTGGTTCCGCTTTTTCATTCTAACACCACAAACTATTCTGTTGCCACATCCAAGACAGGCCCAAGGGACGCAGGCCTCAAAGTCAGGCCTGGGGGTGGCTGCTCCCTGCCCACAGCTTATGTCTATACCCATCTCCAGCCTCTGCTCCCCCAACCACCGGGTTTCCGCAGCACAACGCCCTCCTGGTGCCTGAGTGGATGCACCCCTGAGCCTTGGGCTCTGGTTTGCATGCCCTCAACCCCGGCTTCATTCAGACTCTAGGACTTAGCTCCTTGGACAGCAGCCCCTCTGCCGCAACCCCACAGTAACTGTGTCTGTTTTCTTTGACGTTGAGCTCATGCACAGAGATGATGGCTGATGCCTCCTTCTCCCTCAGGGCATGGGGCTGGCACATATGGGCTCCTGGTAATGCCAGTAATGCCGTCTGGGCGGAGCGTCACATCACTTTGAGAGAATTCTCCACTGTGCCTCACAGACTTGCCCCTTTCTCTCCTCTCTCCTCATTTCCTTCCCTCTTCCTGTAGCTATATTCAGACAGACATTCATAGGATGGACATAGAAATACATCTTAAAAGACAGAAAATCCTTCCAGGTAACTGTGCACTGTACTCGGCTATTAAAACCAGCAATATATTCCCAAGTGGTTAATCATAAAATCTTAAATCAACCAAAACAAATGGCAGCATTTCCTTCAGCAAGGTAGAAATGTGGGGGATGTGGGCCAGGCATGGTGGCTCACGCCTGTAATCCCAGCACTTTGGGAGACCAAGGCGGGTGGATCACTGGAGGTCAGGAGTTCGAGACCAGCCTAGCCAACATAGTGAAACCCCATCTCTACTAAAAATACAAAAATTAGCCAGGTGTGGTGGCACAAGACTGCAATCCCAGCTACTCAGGAGACTGAGGCATTATTGCTTGAACCCTGGAGGCAGAGGCCGCTGTGAGCTGAGATCACACTGTTGCTCTCCAGCCTGGGTGACAGAGCCTGATTCTGTCTCAGAAAGAAAAAGAAAATATGGGGGATGCAGTGCTTTATGCACAGGAGCATTTTACTTTCAAGTTTAGGAGAGAAACCGTAAACAAGAAGGAAGGTGGAATAAGCTGACTGTGGAAGACGGTTACTTGATACCTTAGCCTGGTCTTGCAGAGATCTGCCTGCTTCATCATCATCTTCCAAGTCAGGGAGGTCCTGAAAGAGCAAGTGAGCTGCACGTCACCAGGGAGGCCATCAGCATTCCACAGGCGTGATCAAGGCAAACAGTCAGCACAGCCTCAGTTCCCAGTCACCGGAATCACTCAGGGGACTCCCCTGCCCGTGCCCCTCCCAAGCAAACTCAAAGCAAGTATTGCCACCTCAGGTGTCTGAATCTCATAAATGAAAGGGAACTTGCAAGGTGTGACAAGTTTAAAGAATTTCCACATCTTTTTTCTGCTTTTTTGTTAAAAGACACAGCCAGTTCATCTGCGGAAGCGGGGAATAACAATGTAACTGATGATACAATGTAATTCTCACCGCAAATGTGGATGAGGCAACTAGACAGAACTGCTTCCCAGTATAGCTTCTTTGGCAAAAACGAATCAAGAGTTTGGTAGACATGGTTCAAGGGCAGCGCTGTGGACCAGGGCTCCCCAGACTTGAGCTTCCCAGTGTACGAATCACCTGGGCAAAGCGTTACAGATGGATTCTGATCAGCAGGCCTAGGGTGGGGCCTGGGATTCCAGATTGGTAACCAGCGCCCCAGCAAGCCAGGCCTGCCGGCCCAAGGACCACACTTGGGGTATGGGGGGAAGGTCTCCAAGGATTGCGTCTGATTGCTGAATTTACTAACGGTAGAACTGATACTCATCCCCAAGATGAAATACTTCACGTACATCAATGCGGAATGTCTCCTTTGTCTCCAGTTTAACAGTTTCTACACCCGTTCCCATCCCGTCGAGTTCTGTAATGAATGTACCCTCAGCGGCCACAGCCTGGTGAGTCAGGTCTAAGGAGCAACAAGAAGTCCTGGAGTTAGTTTAACACGCAGCGGGCAGATGGATAAGCCCACGGTGAAGACAGACTCCCAGGCAGACGAAGGACAGAAACCCTCTTCAGGGTCCAAAGGCCAGCCCCCATGATGGAAGCCGCAGCTCAGGACAGGCTTCTGTCTGCTGGAAGAGAACAGAATGGCTGCCCCTTTCTGTAACCTGGAGTCGAATCCCATGAGATGATCAGCACCGGCCAGGAGTCACAGCAGCAGCCGCAGGAATCTTGGAAACAGCAGCTGACTGCAGGGTGACAAGCGATGCCAGCATGGGTGACTCGCTCGGAGGCAGAGGGTCAGGCTTCACAGCCCACCACCAGCCTGTCCCTCAGCCAAGGCATGCGCCCCTCCTGCTGCATGAGGTCAGGACGTGTGCAATTTCATAACTGCGAGATCGCCTGAGGAATGTGGACTCTCAATAGGCCCCTTTGTCGTCCAGACCCCTACTTCTGCTTTTTATTTATTTTTATTTTTTTGAGACAGGGTCTCACTCTGTCCCCCAGGCTGGAGTGCCGTGATGTGATCTCGGCTCACAGCAACCTCAAACGCCCAGGCCACCCCTCCTACTTCAGCCTCCCAAGTAGCTGGGACTACAAGTGCTCACCACCTAATTTATTGTCACCAGCTAATTTATTATGTTTTTGTAGAGGCTGGGGGTGGGGGCGCAGCGAGGGGGGCTTCTCACTGTATTGGCCAAGCTGGTCTTGAACTCCTGGCCTCAAGCAATCTGCCCGCCTCGGCCTCCTACAGTGCTGGGATGACACTCGTGAGCCACTGTACAGGGCCTGCCCTACTTTTCCCCGGGGCTGTATCCTTGGGTCCTGTCTGGTCCCTCCATTGCTCTCATGGCTTCGTTTATGTCAGAGAGGAATGGCCCACCTTTCATTGTTTAAACAGTCACTGTTCAACCATGTCAGATACATACTGGATTTTGATGACTTAGTTAAAAAAAATGTAAAATATCTCATTGACAATTTTTATGTTGATTCCATGTTGACAGGATTCTCTTTTTTATATATTGGGTTTATATTGGGTTTTTATATATTGGGTTACATAAAATATATCATTAATAGTTTTACTGTTTCTTTTTACCTTTTTCTTGAGACAGAGTCTCCCTCTGTCGCCCAGGCTGGAGAGCAGTGGCACAATCGCGGCTCACTGCAACCTCTGCCTCCCAGGTTCAATTGATTCTCCTGCCTCAGCTTCTGGAGTAGCTGGGACTACAGGCATGTGCTACCGTGCGTGGCTAATTTTTGTATTTTTAGTGGAGACGGGGTTTCACTGTGTTTGCCAGGATAGTCTCAAGCTCTTGACCTCGTGATCCACACGCCTCGGCCTCCCAAAGTGCTGGGATTACAGGGGTAAGCCACCGTACCCGGCCTACTTTTTAAAAATTTTTTAATTTTTAATTTTTTTTTTTTGAGGGAGGGTCTTACTCCGTTACCCAGACTGGAGTGCAGTGGTGCAATCTTGGCTCACTGCAGCCTCAACCTCCTGGACTCAAGCATGGGACTACAGTGGCATACCACCATGTCCAGCTAATTTTTATAGTTTTGGTGGAGACGAGGTCTCACTATATTGTCAAGGCTGGTCTGGAACTCCTGGCCTCAATCGATCCTCCTGCCTTGGCCCCCCAAAGTTCTTACTTTTTTTAATGGAGCTACTAGAGAATCTAGCAGTGGTTCCTGTTCCTTGTATGCTGGGCGGCACTGTTCATTACCTGTGTACGTTACCTTCTACAAACAGCAATACAGAAGAAGTGAAACTCAGGCCTCAGGTCCCACAGAGGCATGAGTCAAAGGATGGGGCTCCCTGAGAGGGGTGTGTGTCTGTGTATGTTTCTCTGCTTGCATTACCTTCCCTGGCAGCTCCGAGGGGCAGCGGTGGCGGGGCCTCAGCTGGGAGGGTCCCCTCTGGCTCTCGATCTCCGTCCTCTCCTTCAGCCTCCACAGGTGGCAGGAGTGGCAGGGCCTCGGCTGGGAGGGTCCCCTCTGGCTCTCGATCTCCGTCCTCTCCTTCAGCCTCCACAGGTGGCAGGAGTGGCAGGGCCTCGGCTGGGAGGGTCCCCTCTGGCTCTCGATCTCCGTCCTCTCCTTCAGCCTCCACAGGTGGCAGGAGTGGCAGGGCCTCGGCTGGGAGGGTCCCCTCTGGCTCTCCATCTCCGTCTTCTCCTTCAGCCTCCACAGGTGGCAGGAGTGGCAGGGCCTCGGCTGGGAGGGTCCCCTCTGGCTCTCCATCTCCGTCTTCTCCTTCAGCCTCCACAGGCGGCTCCTCTCCTCCACTTGGCCTTTCCAGGTAGAGCTCGTCCTTGGCCTCAAAGCATTCCTTAACAAACAGCTCCATCTTCTGCCTTGTTTCTCTGTCCCTGGGAGGCTCTTCCTTGCCTTCAGCACTGGTGGGCATGTTCTCACCCTCATCTGAAGGCAGCATCTCCCCTAATGGAGGAAAATGCAAAGGTGACTATCGGAGTCTCCTGGGAGGACAAAGGTGTTCATGCATACATCAGGGGTTCACAGCAAACTTCTGACACTAGGGGAGGGGTCAGGAACACAGTTTAAAAAGTGTTCTCGAGGGGACGGGTACGGTGGCTCATGCCTATAATCCCAGCACTTTGGGAGGCCGAGGTGGGTGGATCACTTGAGGTCAAGAGTTCAAGACCAGACTGGCCAACATGACGAAACCCCATCTCTACTAAAAATACAAAAAATTAGCTGGATCTGGTAGCATGTGCCTGTAGTCCCAGCTACTCAGGAGGCTCAGGCAAGAGAATTGCTTAAACCTGGGAGGCAGAGGCTGCAGTGAGCCAAGATCATGCCACTGCACTCCAGCCTGGGTGACACAGGAAGACTCTGTCCTAAATAAATAAATAAATAAGGAACACAGTTTAAAAAGTGTCCTTGAGGGGCTGGACATGGTAGTTCAGGCTTGTGACCCCAGAACTTTGGGAGGCTGAGACGGACAGATCATTTGACGTCAGGAGTTCAAGACCAGCCTGGCCAACATGGTAAAACCTCATCTTTCCTAAAAAACATATATATACATACAAAAAATTAGCTGGGCGAGATGGCACAAGCCTGTAATTCCAGCTACTGGAGAGGCAGAAGAAGTGCTTGAACCTGGAGGCAGAGGTTGCAGAAAGCCACTGCATTCTAGTCTAGGTGACAGAGTAAAACTCTGTCTCAAAAAAAAATTTTTTTTAACATTTCAAAAAAAAATGTTGGGAAAAGACAAAATATATGTAGTAAGAAAATGTCTATTGTATGGAAAATAGAGTATGCTAATTCAAAAGAGTAGATGGGAAGCAATATAATTATGCCATTTTTATATAAAAACATATGTGTGGCTGGGTGTGGTGGCTCATGCCTATAATCCCAGCACTTTGGGAGGCTGAGGCAGGAGGACTGCTTGAGACCAGGAGTTCAAGACCAGCCTGGCCAGCATAGCAAGGCCCTGTCTCTACAAAAAATACAAAACAATTAACCAAAGATGTTCACACACCTTAATCTTAGAAGATGAATATGTCACCTACATGAGCAAAGGGACAGTGCAGATGTGATTAGGGTCTAGAACCTTGAGATGGGAGATTGTCCTGGATGATCCAGGCAGGCTCAGAACAATCACAGGCATCCTTAGGGAGGCAGGAGCGTCAGAGCCAGGGGGAGGCTGGAAGACGCCATACTGCTGGCCTGGAAGTTGGAGGAAGGGGCCACAAGCCAGGGAACGCAGGTGGCCTCTAGGAGGTGGGAAAGCTAAGGAAACGGGTTCTGCCCTGGGGCTCCCAGAAGGGGCACAACATGAGATACCTTGATTTTAGCTTAGTGAAACCTATTTTGGGCTTCTGATGCACAGAACTGTAATAAGGTAACAGATTTGTGTTCTTTTAAGCCACTAGTTTTGTGGTAATTTGTTGTGGCAGCTGTGAAATTACAAGATACGTGTATCTCTGAAACAGAGCTCCTAGAAGCCCTGTAGATAGGGGCACTAGGAGGCTCTTTTGTTCTGATATTTGGTCTTCGACCCCAGTTCCTGACACAGAGCTCCTAAGACCTTGTCCAGAGTGACAGGCATATCTTTTGTTCGAATGGCAGCTCTTGGGGGTGGGGTGGCTTCTGGAATCAGAGAGACCAAGCCACGGTTAGAGGCTTGGAGCTTTCAGCCCCCACCCTCGTCCTTCAGAGAGGACAGAAGGGCTGCAAATGGAGTTAATCATCCATCATGCCCAGGTGTTGAAGCTTCTGGAGAAACTTTGAACTGCAGGGTTCAAAGAGCTTTGAGTTGCTGAACACTGGAGGTATCTGGAGTGGGCAGGTGTGCCCAGAGAGGGCATGGAACTCTGCCCCTTCCCACGGACCTTGCCCCACACTCCGCTTCAACCTCCTGTTCATCCGCATCCCTTATCATATCCTTTATTCATATGATAGCCCAGAAAATATAAGTGTTCTCCGGAGTTCTGTGAGCCGTCACTGCAAATTATCAAACCCAAAGAGGCAGTCGTAGGAACCCTCATTTTATAGCCATTCTGTTAGAAATACAGGTGACACCCTGGGACTCGCAGTTAGCACCGGGAGTGGGGAGTAGCATGGGACGGCTGCCCATCACCTGTGGGGTTAGTGTCAGGTTAGTGTCCAACTGAATCGTAGGACACCCGGCTACGGTCAGGGAACTGGCCGGTGTGGAAACCCTGCACATTCGGTGACCAGAAGTGTGTTGAGAGTCGAGTGTATGAGACGAGAACAAGCCGTTTGTGTTGTTTCCCTACTGTCAGCGGCCGCAGAAAACTAGCACATCATTTGTTTTGAAAAACTGTGTTTCAGTCAAAGTGGTTTGAAGCAGCTCTTCACCACGTGAGGTTCTCACTGGTGCTGGCAGGCGGGTGAGGCCAACTGAAGATGGATCTGCAGGTTGTGAGTAAATGGTTTAAAAAAAAAAAAAAAAAAAAAAAATCCCTGGCCAGGTGCAGCAGCTCACGCCTGTAATCCCAGCACTTGGAGAGGCTGAGGTGGGTGGAGCACTTGAGCCCAGGAGTTTGAGACCAGCCTGGGCAACATAATGAGACCCCATCTCTACAGAAAAAAATGTTTTTAATTAGCTGAGCATGGTGGTGCACACCTGTAGTCCTAGCCACTGAGGAAGCTGAGGTGAGAGGATCACTTGAGGCGGAGGTTTCAGTGAGCCAAGATTGTGCGACTGCACTCTAGCCTAGGTAACAGAGGGAGATCCTGTCCCCACCAAAAAAAAAAAAAAAAAAAAAAATCCAAGGCCAGTTGCAGTGGCTCACGCCTATAATCCCAGCACTTTCGGAAGCCAAGGCAGACAGACCACTTTGGGAAGCGAGGAGGTCAAGACTAGCCTGGACAACATGGCAAAACGCAGTCTCCCCTAAAAATACAATAATTAGCCAGGCATGGTGGCGCATGCCTACAATCTCAGCTCTGGGTGGGGCTGAGACAGGAGAATCGCTTGAACAAAGGAGACAGAAGTTGCAGTGAGCCGAGATCATGCTGCTGCACTCCAGCCTCAGTGACAGAGCGAGACTCTGTCTATAGAAAACAAAATCCCCAAGATTAAAGACTGAGTTTGACAGCTTGGATCTGCCTGACCTCACAGGAACTCTGCGGCGGTTGCCTTGGGCCTAGAGCGCCTACCTCTTTCCTGACTCTCTCTCTGTCTTTTCCTCTCCTCCGCCCGCCGCTTGATCATGGCCAAGGCTTCAATGCTGTCTGTGATCTTCTTCTGCTCCCGGCTCTCCCACTGCTGTCTCTCCTCCTTCTCAGCTGTGTACCCTCCCCTAGCCCAGGCCTCTGCACAAGCTCTGTTGAAAAAAATCAAAGACACATAAATAGGGGAGGGGAACTCCAAACATATACTCTCTGGCCACCTGACTCATTTTCTTCAAAGTCAAAGTGAGCATCAGACATGTGGCTGCAAGGATGACAGTTACATGTGGACCTTTTATTATGTAAGGTCGAATGGTCTGTACAGCCTTCCTAGGTATGGCACCAAAAGCACAAGTGACAAGAGAAAAAATAGAGAAATTGGACCCCAACCAACTTAAAAACTTTTGTCATGCAAAGGATATCACAAGTAAAGTAGTATAAAAAGAGAGCAGGGCACCGTGGCTCACACCTGTAATCCCAGCACTTTGGAGGCCAAAGTGAGAGGGTCACTTGAGTCCAGGAGTTTGAGATCAGCCTGGGCAACACAGCAAGACCCCGTCTCTACCGAAAAAAAGTAAAAAGACAAAGAATGTAAGAAGATATTTGCAAATCCTATCTTTGATAAGGGTCTTGTACCTGGAAAATATAAAGAAGCCTAACAACTCATTAATAAAAAGATGACACAATTTCAAAATGAGCAAAGTTTTATGTTTTTGTTTTTTGTTTTGTTTTGTTTTGGAGATGGAGTCTTTCTCTCTCGCTCAGGCTGGAGTGCAGTGGTGCAATCTTGGCTCACTGCAACCTCAGCCTCCTGGGTTCAAGCGATTCTCCTACCTCAGCCTCCTGAGTAGCTGGGACTACAGGAGCCCGCCACCACGCCCAGCTAATTTCTGTATTTTCAGGAGAGACGGGGTTTCACCAAGTTGGCCAGATGGTCTCAATCTCTTGACCTCATGATCCGCCCACCTTGGCCTCTCAAAGTGCTGGGATTACATGCGTGAGCCACTGTGTCTGGCCCAAAATGAGCAAAGTTTTAAAAATCGAAAAGACCAGCAACAGACTGGGGAGAAAATACTTACAGAAAAAGACAACTGGGAAAGGGCTTGCATCCAAAACATCCGAAGAACTTTTAAAATTCAAAGATAAGGAAACAACCGAATAAAAAACTGGGCAAAAGATCAGGCTACCTCACCGAAAAAGATACACAGATGGCAAGTAAGCCTGTGAAAAGACGCTCCGCACCCCATGTCCTCAGGGAAATGCAAATGAGAACAACAAGATAACGTGATATTGCTACTAGATGGCTAAAGTCCAACACACTGACAACACCATGCTAACGCGGATGTGGAGTTCGGGCAACTCTCACTTGTTCCTGGGGGGAATGCACAATGGTACAGCCACTTAGGAAGATGGTGTGGCGGATTCTTACAGGACTAAAAATACTCTCACCATATGATCTGGCAATTGCTCTCCTAAGTGTTTACCTGAAGGAGCTGAAGACTTAACGTCCACACTCTAACCTGCACGTGGATGTTTACAGCAGTTTTATTCTATTTGACAAAAATCAGAAGCGACCAAGAATTCCTTTAGTGGGCGATTGGATAAACAAACTCTGGCACATCCTGACAGAGGAATATCTCTCAGCAATGAAAACAAATGAGTTGTCAGGCCACACAGCATCACGGGAGAAGCCTCACTTCACTGCTACGTGAAAGAAGCCCGTCCATAAAGGCTATCTGCTGTATGATTCCAGCTATATGACTTTCTAGATAAGGCGAAACTGTGGAGACCGTAAAAAGATCAGTGATGCCAGGAGTTGGGGCTGAGGTGGGAGGGATGAATAGGCAGAGCACAGAGGGTGTTTAGGGCAGCAAAACTATTCTGTGAGATACTGTGATAGAGGACACGTGACATCATACCTTTGTTCATATCCATACAATGTGCAATACCCAGCATGAGCCTTAAAGAAATGACAGACTTCAGTCAATAATAAGGTACCAGCATTGGCTGATAACTTGTCACAAATGTACTAAATGAGTGTAAGATGTTACAAACAGGAGAAACTGTAAGGGTGGGTGGTATATGGAAATGCTCTCTGCTTTCTGCTCAATTTTTCTGTAAATCTAAAACCGCTCTGAAAATAAAGCCTAAGCCAGTCGCAATGGCTCACACCTGTAATCCCAACATTTTGGGAAGCCAGGGTGGGCAGACTGCCAGAGCCCAGGACTTCCAGACCAGCCTGGGCAACACGTTGAGACCCCATCTCTACAAAAAGCATGAAAACTTGCCAGGCCTGACGGCGCACACCTGTAGTCCCAGCTACGCAGCTGGCTGAGAGGTGGGAGGGTTGTTTGAGCTCAGGAGGTCGAGGCTGCAGTGAGTCACGATTGTACCACTACACTCCAGCCTGGGCGACAGAGCAAGACGCTGTCTCAAAAAAAAAAAAAAAAAAAAAAAAAAGTCTATTAATTTTTTTTTTTAAATCGGCAAAGAAACTGAACAGGCATTTCTTCAAAGACAATATACAAATTGCCAGTAAGTACATGAAAGATGCTCAACATTATTATCTGCCAGAAAAAAAAGCGGATGGAAACCACAATCAGACACCACTTCATACCATCCAGGGGGACTAGAAATAAAAAGACAAGCAGCTGGAAGTGCTGGTGAGGATACGGGAAAGCTGGAACTTTCCCACACTGCTGATGGGGCTGTAAAATAGTACAGCTGCTTCTTCTCAAAATTTAAACATAAAGTCCCTGTATGTCCCAGAAATTCCACCCCTAGATATATACCCAGGAGAAGACAACATCTGTCCTCACAAACATTTCACGATTCATAACAGCCAAAAAGTGAAAACAACCCTAATGTCCAAAAATGGATGGACAAATAAAATGGAGTGTGTCAAAATGCAGTATTCACCTGGCAATAAAAAGGAAGGAGGTACTAGACGGAGCACGCTGCATTGCAGATGAGCCTTGACAACACGATGCTGAGTGAAAGACGCCAGAAACAAGAGGCCACATAGCAGGTGACTCCATTTATGTGAAATGTCCAGAACGGGCGAATCGACAGAGGAGTGGCTGCCACGGCCTGCGGGGAGCGGGAAATGGGGGCTGGCTGCTAATGGGGATGGTGTTTCCTTTTTAGGGTGATGAGAATGTTCTTCCATTTTTTTTTTTTTTTTCCTAATTGAGATGGAGTTTCACTCTTGTCACCCAGGCTGAGGTGCAGTGGTGTGATCTCGGCTCACTGTGACCTCTGCTTCTGGCTTCAAGTGATTCTCCTGCCTCAGCCTCTCAAGTAGTTTCGATTACAGGCTCCTGCCACCATGCCTGGCTAATTTTGCTATTTTTAGTTAGAGATGGGACTTCACCGCGCTGGCCAGGCTGGTCTCACACTCCTAACATCAGGTGACCCGCCCACTTCAGCCTCCCAGAGTGCTGGAATCACAGGCGTGAACCACCGTGCCCCACCATGAATATTCTAAAATTGACTGTGGTGATGGTTGCACAACTCTGTGAATATACTAACAGCCATTGCACTGTACAATTTGTTTTTTATTTTTATTTTGAGAGGGAGTCTCCCGAACTCAAGTGATCCACCCGCCTCAGCCTCCCAAAGTTCTGGGATTACAGGCATGAGTCACTGTGTCCAGCCACATACAGTTTAAATATGTAAACTGTATGTTATTCACATACATCCGCCAAGGAGGGTGGATCACTATGTCAAGGGATCGAGACCATCCTGGCTAACATGGTGAAACCCCATCTCTACTAAAGATACAAAAATTAGCTGGGCATGGTGGTGCACACCTGTAGTCCCAGCTACTCAAGAGGCTGAGGCAGGAGAATCGCTTCAGCCCAGGAGCTGGAGGTTGCAGTGAGCCGAGATTGTGCCACTGTACTCCAGCCTGGCGAAGAGTGAGACTCCATCTCAAAAAAAAGGAAAACGAAATCTGGTGGTGTGAAAACAGAAGGCTTACCTTCAGAGAGAAGAAGCAGATCGCTCCTGTAGAATCAAAGGTACAGGTGTTTTGTTTGGAAATAGTCAGAGAGGGTGCTGAAAAGTATACTAAAGCAGAGAAAGACCACAAGTCACTACGACAGAATATGCCAAGGAGAATAAACCATGTTCCAGCCCACTTACCATGCAATGAGGAAACCTCAGACCCTTCATCTCACAGCAGCCAGCCCGCAAAGGCCTATCTGCTGCCTGCTATGTGCCAGGCACTGTTCCCAAGGCTGGGGATCCAGCAGTGAATGGAAGAGCTGATCTCTGTTAGAGGGGCCCTTTTAGTCGGGGAAGGCAGATTGTAAGCAAGGAAATGCTAATATGTCCTAAGAGGAAAATAAATCAGGCCAAACAGACATCAAGTGGAGAAGGTACTATTTAGACAGGACAGGTGGTCATAGAGAGTGCTTTAATAAAATGACAGGTGAGCACACAGCTGCTCCATCACAGAGGATAGCAAGTACCCAAATAATCAGTAAGTGGTAGGATTAAGATTCAACACTGGGGGTGTGGTGGCTCACACCTGTGAAAGCTTTGGGAGGCCAAGGCAGGAGGACCACTTGAGGCCAGAAATTTGAGACTGGCCTGGGCAACATAGTGAGACCCCCATCTCTAAAAAAAACTTAAAAATTAGCTGGGTTTGGCAGTGCACACCTGTAATCTCAGTTACTTGGGAGGCTTGTGTGAGCCCAGGAGTTCGAGGCTGCTGTGATCACACCCCTGCACTCCTGCCTGGGTGACAGAGTACAACCCTGTCTCTAAAAAAAGACTCAAGTGACCGGGTGCGGTGGCTCACACCTGTAATGCCAGCACTCTGCAAGGCCGAGGCAGGCGGATCACGAGGTCAGGAGTCTGAGACCAGCCTGCCCAATGTGGTGGAACCCCGTCTCTACTAAAAATGCAAAAATTAGCTGGACGTGGTGGTGCACACCTGTAATCCCAGCTACTGGGGAGGCTGAGGTAGGAGAATTGCTTGAACTGGGAGGTGGAGGTTGCAGTGAGCCAAGATCGGGCCACTGCACTCCAGCCTGAGTGACAGAGTGAGACTCTATCTCAAAAAAAAAGACACAAGCCAGGTTAATCTGACTTTACAGCTGCACTGTAAAGGGCAGTGGCTCCTATTGCTCACATCCATGTTACCTTCCTCAACATGGCTCCCAGGGTGGGGGCAGCATCTTCAGGGGCTGCTGCTCCCACCGGTTCACTCCTAAGAGCCCGGCACCCACTCGAAGTCCTGCATGTTGTTCACAGGCACTCACAGGGACCCTGTGGCACTAATATTATCATCCCCACTCTGCAGATGAAGAACGTGCACCCAAGGGGGTTAGGGAGCTCCCCTAAGGTTGTAACATAGCCGGTGGCCACAGAGCTGGCTTGGGAGTCAGGCCCCTGCACACTGGCGGCTCCCCCTGTCCTCGCCACCCCGAGACCTGGGGCCCTAGGATCTGGGTCCATTTCTGTTGAACTTCCCAGGAGCACGTCTTCTAGTTTTCTTACCTGGCTAAAGTAGAAGCTCTATTTGAAGTATGTGTTAGTTTGATTTGAATTTGTGAGTATAAAAACATATTACAAGTTACATTTATGGTAAATGTTGTCTAATGCAAAATTCAGATTGTACGTCTCGTCAAGTAGCCTATATGACTGATATTTTATTCTACGTGGAATTACTAAATTGATCTAAGTTAAAAAGTAAATTTTAAACACAGATAAAAGCACTGATGATAAACATGGCAGTCCAGGGTACGATGTTCCAAACATTAAAGAAGCTCTTACAAATTGGTAAGAAAAGCACTTCAAAAAGAAACTTGGAAAAAGTCACAAATAGAATATTCATAAAAGAGGAAATGTAAGTGTCCAGTAACAATGAAAAAAATACCCAACTCCATCAATTAACCAAAAATGCAAGGCCGGGCGCGGTGGCTCAAACCTGTAATCCCAGCACTTTGGGAGGCCGAGGCGGGTGGATCACGAGGTCAAGAGATCGAGACCATCCTGGTCAACATGGTGAAACCCCGTCTCTACTAAAAACACAAAAAAAATTAGCTGGGCATGGTGGCGCGTGCCTGTAATCTCAGCTACTCAGGAGGCTGAGGCAGGAGAATTGCCTGAACCCAGGAGGCGGAGGTTGCAGTGAGCCGAGATCGCGCCATTGCACTCCAGCCTGGGTAACAAGAGTGAAAACTCCGTCTCAAAAAAAAACAAAACAACAAAAATGCAATTTCAGTGGGGTACTATCTTCACCCATCAACTAACTTAGCCAAGATTTCTTTTCATGGTTATGTTATGTGAGGTTGTCAATTGGTATAAACTCTCTGGAAAACAACTAGAAAATATGTATAAGAGTTTATACAAAGTCTCAGTCAGGTGCGGTGGCTCAAGTCTGTAATCCCAGCACTTTGGGAGGCCGAGAAGGGCAGATCATGATGTAAAGAGATCAAAACCATCCTGGCCAACACGGTGAAACCCCCTCTCTACTAAAAATACAGAAATTAGCTGGGTGTGGTGGCATGCATCTGTAGTCCCAGCTACTCAGTAGGCTAAGGCAGGAGAATCACTTGAACCTAGGAGGCGGAGGTTGAAGTGAGCCAAAATCGCACTACTACCCTCCAGCCTGGTGACAGAGCGAGACTCCATCTCAAAAACTAAAAAGAGTTTTTACAAAGTCTCAAACTGCATTCTTCAACACAGTGATACTACTCCAAAAATTCCATTCCAAGGAACTCATCAGCAAAGAGGTAAATAAATGACTTATACAAAGATATTTATCAAAAGAATATTTTAAGGCTGGGCACGGTGGCTCACACCTGTAATCCCAACACTTTGGGAGGCCAAGGCGGGTGGATCACGAGGTCAAGAGATCAAGACCATCCTGGTTAACATGGTGAAACCCCATCTCTACTGAAAAATACAAAAAACAATTAGCTGGGCATGGTGGCATGCACCTGTAATCCCAGCTACTCAGGAGGCTGAGGCAGGAGAATTGCCTGAACCCAGGAGGCGGAGGTTGCAGTGAGCCGAGATCGCGCCACTGCACTCCAGCCTGGATAACAAGAGCGAAACTCCGTCTCAAAAAAAAAAAAAGAAGTTTAATATTAAGCATGGACAACTATGACAGATTAAAATGTGATCAGAAGGCTTTTCTTACCTGTCCTTTGGAAAAACTGGTCTATCATCCAGGTATGTTAAGTGCTTCAGTCGCACAGTGACGGTCCTTCTATAATTAGCAATGTGCCTGATAACTGGGTTTCCCATCAAATTCAGTACACGCTGCAAGAAGACAAGCATAACCAAACTGATTAGTAAAAGATGCAATTGAATTACCGTATTGCGATGTGGACTAAGAATAAATAAACAAAATCTATTTTTTGAGCAAAATAGAAGTGCCAATATCATGTCCTGGTGACTTGATCCAAGAAACTAGAGGGTTTTCAATTCCCTCATGCTCTCAAAACTGTCTAGATCATTCAGCAGCCCTTTCTTCCACTTGAACTTCAGCTCTTAGATCTCATTGTCCCTCCAGAACAATATTGGAAAACATTTCCTGAGGCTTTTTCTGAGTGCAGTTGATTACATTAGTTTTGCTACCCAACATCTTTTACTGAAATGCATCTCTGTGTAACTGATGGTTTTCTTTTCTTCCCAGCCAGGACCCATTTTAAGAAAACACACACAAGCCGCTAGACAGAGCAGCAGCAGTGACTAAGGGAAAGGATGGGCAGTGCCCGCTTACCTCTGCTGAGTGTCGCAGGAAGGAGGGCCCTCTGCCTGGGCTCACAGCTCTCCCTGATGTCAGTTAGGACCAGGGAGGAAAGAGGGGTTCAGCAATGCCACCTGCCATCCTCCCCCATCTTTAAATACCATCACCTCTTCTATTGCCTTAAGAAATTCAAAGAAGCTGAATGCATGGGGGCTGGTACAGCGGTTCACTCCTGTAATCCCAGCACTTTGGGAGGCTGAGGCAGGTGGATCACTTGAGGACAGGGATTCGAGACCAGCCTGGCCAGCCTGGTGAAACCCCATCTCTACTAAAGAGACAAATATTAGCTGGGCATGGTGGTGTGCACCTGTAAAGCCAGCTACTCAGGAGGCTGAGGCAGGAGGATCACCTGAACCCCGGAGGTGGAGGCTGCAGTGAGCAGAGATTATGCCACTGCACTCCAGCCTGGGTGACAGAGTGAGACTCCATCTCAAAAAAAAAAAAAAAAAGAGAGAAGTTGAATGCTTAAGGCAACATGAGGGTGAACCGTTTGAAAATCTGTTTGCCTAAACTGATGGAGTATTTTTCATATCGAAAGTGTTCCTTTGTTGGAAAAAAGACATCATAAACGAGTTAGTTTAGCATTTCCCAAACTTCATTTTCATGCCATCTTTCCCATTCTTGCTCTGTCTTCAAGTGACTTACCCTGCACAGGGTGAGGCGGTGGGAGCAATACACCCAGGCAGCAATAAAGGGGTACACGGGCTGGGGAGGATTAAAAAGCAATCACACACACACACACAAAACTATTAATATAAAGCGACCTGCTTTCGTTCTGGGTTGAATTGTGTCCTAATCAAAATTCAGATGTTAAAGTCGGAACCCGAGGCACCTCAGAATGTAATTGTATTTGAAGATGAGACTTTTAAAGTGGCGATTAAGTTGAAATGAGCTCATTAGGGTGAGCCCTAATGCAATCTGACGAGTAGCCTTAGAAGAAGAGAGTAGGACACAGGGAGCGCACAGCACAGAAGGAGGGACCCTGTGAGGACCTGGGAAGAAGACGGCCACCTACCAGCCAAGGAGCGGCCTCAGGAGAATCCAACCCTGCCCACACCTTGCTCTTGACTCCCAGTCTCCAGAATTATGAGAAAAGAAATTTCTATTAGTTAAGCCACCCGGTACTTACGGCAACCCGAACCAAAACCAAACCAAACCAAACCAGCAGGGGACTGTAATCTAATAGAGCTTTCTATTCTCTCCACGTGCTGCCATCCTAAACGAGTCTTTCCTCGAACACTCTACAGACTGCTCCTCAGCTACGGTTTGCTTTCAGCCGACTCACTTCTTTCCTTGCGTACACAATAAACTAAGCAGTACACAATAAACTCAAGGGTTTTGTGTGCTCGTGTTGGTATTTCTTTCCTAGTACACACGACAACACAGACGCTAAGAAGCAAGGAAGCTGTCAAAGGCTACTAGAGTGCGCTCAGAAGGACATGGGAGCAACCTGAAGGCTTCTCAAGCCCAAAGGATGGCATTTTTTTTTTTTTTTTTTTTTTGAGACAGGGTCTCATTTTGTTTGGAGTGCAGTGGTGAAATCTCAGCTCACTGCAACACCTCCCGGGTTCAAGCAATTCTCCCACCTCAGCCGCCCAAGTAGCTGAGATCACAGGCATGCACCGCCATGCCCAGCTCATTTTTGTATTGTTAGTAGAGACGGGATTTCACCATGTTGGCCAGGCTGGTCTCAAACTCCTGGCCTCAAGTGATCTGTCCACCTCGGCTTCTCAAAGTGCTGGGATTACAGGTGTGAGCCACCGTACCCTGCCCAGATGGGAAAATTTGAACATGAAAATTTAGAGTGACAGAAAGAGTTAAATCATGTCAATATTGTATATACAAATGTATGCCTGCATAATGATACTGAAAAAGAGAAAGGCTTCATTGTCACCATGAGAGGTTGCTAGGGTCTTAATTCATTTCACTGAAAATTGACAAATAGCCAGCCTGAGCAACATGGCAAAACCCCATCTCTACAAAAAATAGAAAATTAGCTGGATGTGGTGGTGCACACCTGTGGTCCCAGCTACTTGGGAGGCTAAGGTGGGAGGGGCATGTAAGCCTGGGAGGTTGAGGCTGCAGGAAGCCATGGTTATACCACTACACTCCATCCTGGGTGACACAGCAAGACTCTGTCTCAAAAAAAAAAAAAAAAAAAAAAAAGCCGGGTACAGTGGCTCATGCCTTTAATTCCAGCACTTTGGGAAGCCAAGGGGGGTGGATCACAAGGTCAGAAGATGGAGACCATCCTGGCTAACAGGGTGAAACCCCATCTCTACAAAAAATACAAAAAAAAAAAATAGCCGGATGTGGTGGCACACGCCTGTAGTCCCAGCTACTCGGGAAGCTGAGGCAAGAGAATCTCTTGAACCCAGGAGGTGGAGGTTGCAGTGAGCTGAGATTGCACCACTGCACTCCTGCCTGGGTGACAGAGCAAGACACCCTCAAAAATTAAAAAAGGAAAAGACAAATTAAATAAATAAATAAAAGGGCTGAACATTGATCCTGGCCTTTTCTGCATGAACTGGATGAACCACTAGTTAGTGAGTGGAAGCTCGCTGTAGAAGTATTCTAGCTAAATAAATGCTGAGAGTGAGATAACTGGAAAACTGTCACTGTGTGGCTCCCAATGAAATAATTCATCTAGGAAACGTTCGTCAGTGACTGCTAAAATAACTGGGAGAAGGAGTGACGGGGAACTTCAGAATGGCTGGACCAGGCTGACAATATCTGAACCTATTAGTGAATCTTCAAATGAAAAGAAGAAGCAAGCAGGCCTCACATGCTCCCCGATGTGAGGACCTGCCAGTGGAAGGACCTGGCACACCACGAGGGGAAATATTCAGCCTGGACACCATCCAGCCTCTGGTTCTGATATCATTTTACAGGAGACACTGGAGCCATCAGAACATGTTAAGTGGCACCAAAAGAATGCAATCAGCTACATGCAGAATGTGGGTAACAGCCGACAGAGGACCTGGTTTCCTTGAAAAATTAATTGAGTGGTGGCTGGGCATGGTGGCTCATGCCTATAATCCCAGCACTTTGGGAGGCTGAGGTGGATAGGTCACTTAAGGTCAGGAGTTCAAGACCAGCCTGGCCAACATGATGCAATCCCAAATCTACTAAAAATACAAAAATTAGCTGGGCGTGGTGGCAGGCGCCTGTAATGCCAGCTACTCGGGAGGCTAAGGCAGGAGAATCACTTGAACCCAGGAGGCAGAGGTGGCAATGAGACAAGATTATGCCATCGCACTGCAGCCTGGGTGACAGATTGAGATGCTGTCTCAAAAAAAAAAAAAAAAAAAAAAAAAATTAACTGGGTGAGAGTAAATCAGGGAAGAGAAACTGTTAGAGATCGAAAGAGAATGACAAGACAAATAATCCAAATGTAATGTCTGAATCCGGTTTGAATTGGAACAACACAACTGTCAAAACATATTTTTGAGACAAAAGGAAAACAAATGTGGCCTGGGCATTCAGTGTAGTGATTATAATATTCTAGATACAATACGATTGTGATTATGCTTTAAAAAGTCCTTATCTGGGCCGGGCACAGTGGCTTATGCCTGTAATCCCAGCACTTTGGAAAGCTGAGGTGGGAGGATCAGCTGAGGTCAGGAGTTTGAGACCAGTCTGGCCAGTATGGCAAAAACCATTCTCTACTAAGAATACAGAAATTAGCCTGACATGGTGGCACGTGCCTGTAATCCCAGCTATTCAGGAGGATGAGGCAGGAGAATTGCTTAAACCTGGGAGGCGGAGGTTACAGTGAGCTGAGACTGCGCCAGTGCATCCCAGCCTGGGCAACAAGAGTGAGGCTCCATCTCAAGAAAAAAAAAGTCCTTATCTGTCAGAGGTACACACTAAACTATTCGTGGGTACAATAATGTGACATCTGGCATTTCAAATACTCCAGCTTTGTGTTTCAAAAACACAAAGAGGAAAAAAGTGTGAAAAAGGAAAGGAAGGAGAGCAGGAAGGAGAAAAAAGACAAAAAAAGGACTCGATATTTAACGAACATAATGGAAGCGGGTTTCTGTGGTGTTTTCTTGTTTTTTTTTTTTACCAAATCGGGCATGCATTCCAGAATGTTCAGGATCTCTGGGTCGCTCAGCTTGTTGTGCGAAAGGTCAAGGACACAAAGCCTCAAACACTCTCGTAGATGCTGAATGTCCTCCACAGTCTCCAGGTGATTGTGGGCCATCTGCAGCGTATTCAGGACTGGGAGGCAGGCTGGAAGATAGGATCAGCAGACGTCAAAAACAAAGGCATAAAAATCCTTAGCCCAGGCGCAGCGCTGTATACCTGGAATCCCAGCACTTTGGGAGGCTAAGGTGGGAGAATCTTTTGAGCCCGGGAGTTTGAGACCAGCCTGGGCAACACATCTATAAAACAGAAAAACTTGCCAGGTCTGGTGGCAAGTGCCTGTGGTCTCAGCTACCTGGGAGGCTGAGGTGGGAGGATGACTGGAGACCAGGAGGTTGAGGCTGCAGTGAGCTGTAACGGCACTGCTGGGCTTCAGCCGGAGGGACAGAGCAAGACCCTGTCTCACAAAGAAGCAAAGCAAAGCAAAATCAAAAGCACTTCTTGCCCATAATATAAAATCTCAGAGCCTCCCTCAGGGGAAAGTGATGGGCAGATGGCAGACAGAAACACTGCTGGGGACTCTTACAGAGGTTTTCAATGGTCTTGATGTAATTGTTGCTGAGGTTAAGAGCGTCCAGTTTCTGCAGAGGTTCCAGGTTCTCGATTTTATGGAGCAAGTTCACTTGCAAGAAGAGGCAACGCAACTCAGTTTGGGCCTCCAGGTTTTCGATTTTCCGTATTCCATTGCATTGCAGCCAGAGACAGCGCAGCCCTGTGTATTCTTCCAGGTTCTCAATGCGGTCGAAACCTAACAAGGAGGAAGCACGAGGGAATTAGGCTCCTACTCACAGGGCAGAGGGGTCATGGCCACCCTTGTTTTTGCCTACTATTAGGGACTGAATGTCTGTGTCCCTTCAAAATTCATGCATTGAAATCCTGACCCCTAATGCGACGGCATTTGGAGGTGGGAGGTTTGGGAGGGGAGAAGGTCATGAGAGAAGAACCCTCATGAATGAATGGCATTAGTGACCTCAGAAATGAGGCCCCAGACAGCTCCTTTGTCATCTTCACCATATGAGGATACAGCAAGAAAATGCCATCTGAGGCCAAGCGCAGTGGCTCATGCCTGTAATCCCAGCACTTTGGGAAGCCAAGGCGGGCCGATCACGACGAGGTCAAGAAATCGAGACCTTCCTGGCCACCAAGGTGAAACCCCGTCTCTGAAAAAAAAAAAAAAAAGAAGAAGAAAGTGCCATCTGAGAATAAAAAAGCAGGCTCTCACCAGCCACCCAACCTGCCAGTACCTTGACCTTGGACTTCCCAGCCTCCAGAACTGTGAGAAAGAAATTTCTGTTGTTGATAAGCCACCCAGGCTATCATATCTTGTTACAGCAGCTCAAAACGGGCGCAGACACCTACCTATCTGGCATCCACGCCTCCTTCCTCCAGTATCAACTTTTCCTGGAGGGACCGTCCTGCTCCTAATATCACCCGACGGCTCTCTGGACAGCCTCTCAGAGCCACCTCACTCATTTGGGGTGGTCACACTTAGCCAAGCAAGACCAACTTTGATGAATCCTAGGGGGTTCTTGCTGAAATAAATGGTAGTCTTCCTGCTGGAATTGCCCACCTGGGAGGGTGGAGCCTACTGCTACCTTCATGGAGGGGAGTGGGTGGGGGTGAGGGTGCGGTGGGGGTAAAGCTACCCTGAAAATGTCCCCACCAGGACTAACTCTAGTGCAAACTGTGGGCCTTGTTTTGTTCTCTTTTCAGTTTTATGAACCAAATTTAGGGTTAGGAAAACAAACGTTTTAGTTGCCTTTAGTAACTCACCATCAATGTGGAACTCACGCTTCATTTACTATCACCAACACTTAAAGTTATTTTGTTGCCTGAAAAGGTTTTTATTTAAAAAATTTTAATATCTGTGGTGAGCAAAATAAAAAAAGAGGTGCACTCAGGATCCTGCCAAGAGACCATCTGTTTTCATTTCTCTCTCTCCCCTTCCAAGCTTGCTATCAGCATATGGAATATTTATAATAGTTATAACATACATTTAAACTTAGGTATTGTATAGATTTTTTTTTAATCCTCTCTTTTTTTCCAGAAAAATGTTTATTATTTTATTTCTTCCAGTCTTATTTTAAGTGCGTGGGTTCACGTACCAGGTGTGCAGGTGTGTTACAAAGGTCAATGTGTGCCATGGGGGTTGCTCACAGATCATCTCATCACCTAGGTGCTAAGCCTGGTGTCCATTAGCTATTCTTCCTGATGCTCTCCCTCTCCACAATCCCTCTCCACAAAAAGTTTTATAGTGGAAGTATTTGTCATGTTGCTTCAAGGTCTCCATACTGAAGTTAGCATCTCTAAAAGATAGGAACTTTTTGTCTTTAAGATAACCGCAATGCCACTGTGACGGCGAAACAGCAGTTCCTCAATGTCCTCAAATAGCCTGTTACTGGTCACGTTTCTTTGTTATCTTTTTTTCCAAACTGTCTACTGTATGAATCAACAGAAAAATAAGGTCCAAACCTTGTAGCTAGTGGACGTCTCTTAAGTCACTTTTTATCTGAGATAGAGTCTTACTCTGTCACCCAGGCTGGAGTGCAGTGGCATGATTTCGGCTCACTGCAACCTCCACCTCTTGAGTTTAAGCAAATCTCCTGCCTCAGCCCCTTGAGTAGCTGGGATTACAGGCACCTGCTATCATGCCCAGCTAATTTTGGTATTTTTAGTAGAGATGGGGTTTCACCATGTTGTCCAGGTTGGTCTTGAACTCCTGACCTGAGATGATCGGCCTACCTTGGCTTCCTAAAGTGCTGGGATTATAGGCATGAGCCACTGTGCCCAACCAACTATTTTTTTTTTTTTTTGAAACAGAGTCTTGCTCTGTCACCTAGAATGGAATGCAGTGGTGTGATCTGAGCTCACTGTAATCTCTGCCTCTTGGGTTCAAGCGACTCTCCTGCCTCAGCCTCCCAAGTAACTAGTACTGCAAGCATGCATCACCATGCAGGCATGAGCCACCACACCCAGCCTTAAAGTCACTTTTAACCTGGAGTATCTGTGTGGGTGTCTCTCTCTCTCTTTCTTCCATTGCAATTTTTTGGTGAAGAAAGTGGATTGTCTCCTTGGGTTTCTGACATTCTGGTTTTTCTCCCTGGTCTTCGCTCCAGCTCCTGCCCCATCTCCTCCCCTTTTGCTGAGAAAGACCTCAATTTGCCTGTTCAAGCCATCTCCAATCGGCTGTCGCCCCTGGATCCCACCATCACTACAGCCACCTGGCTAAAGTCTCCCGTGAGATCCTAGTTGCTACATGCTATTGTCAGTCCTCTCAGCCCTTGATCATTCCAAGGTATCTGGCCCAATGGGCCCTGCGCCTCCTCTCCCAGCTTCCTCCTCAGGCTCTCTGGATGACTCTCCTGGTATCGATACCCTCCTGTTAGCACTGCAGTGAGACAGGAGTGACCCTGATACCATGGAGTGATACAGTGTCACCTCCACTTTTGTCTTGGCCTTGCTTCCCTTCTTGGGAACTTGCTGTGGCGGAAGTCAGCTGCCAGGGAGAGGCTCCTGTGGTGAGAAATTGGGGCCTCTGCCTGACAGCTGTGAGGTCTAGAGCCTAGAAGTGGATTCTCCAGCCCCAGTCAAGCTGTCATATGAGCTAGGCCATGCTGACAGTCTGACTACAGCCTCATGAGAGACCCTGAGCTGGAACCACCCAGCTAATCGCTCCCTAGTTCCTGGCACTCAGAAACGGTGAGACAATGAGTTTCAGTTGCTAAGTTTTGGGGTAGTTAATTATATAGCAATCGATAAATAATATGGGCACCTCTCTCTCCTAGGTCTTGTACCTCTCTGACTGCCTCTACTTAGTCAAACTTACTGGTTCCATTTTTCTTCCCACTGCTTAAGCATCCATTCCCCCGGGATCTGTCCGCTACACTTGGATGCTGGGTGGGGAATTCGGAGGGGGACAAAAGTGGAGATGAGGAGACCCTTAAATGTTGTTCCAACCCCTGAAGATATTTGTGCTGCTGCAGCCCTTTGGGCATCTCCCTGGCGTAGCACCATCCTCAAAGTAGCTGCCCCCATCCCCCAGGACACCAAAGGCACCTTTACCGGTTCCCTCTCTGCATTTTTAGCCCTCAACAGGGCTGGGCACACAGAAGGCTCTCGGCAAGCATCTACTGAAGAAACAAATGAACAATCAGAGGACTGCTGAGCAAGTTGGTCACCCCATCAGCACAGACTGGGAGCTCTCAGGCTGGAAAAAGCCCTGCCTGCAAACCTGAGCTTCCATTTATATAGGATATTGGACTCCAGCCCTAGGTCCTGTTCACGCCTCCCCATTGTAAGAGGCACGCAAAGATCCTCATCATATGTTTCCAACATCAAGCTGCAATCCTTCCCAACATAGCCCTTCCAAGCCCGAAGTCCCTACAAACTAGCTTTCTGGTATGACAAATTAAAGTCCTGGCTGGGCCTGGTGGCTCACACTTGTAATCCTAGCACTTTGGGAGGCTGAGGCAGTCAGATTGCCTGAGCTCGGGAGTTTGAGATCAGAATGGGAAATATGGAGAAACCTTGCCTCTACTAAAAAATACAAAAATTAGCCAGGCAAGATGGCAGGCACCTGTAATCCCAGCTACTTGGGAGGCTGAGGCAGAAGTGCTTGAACCTGGAAGCAGAGGTTGCAGTGAGCTGAGATTGCACCCTGCACTGCAGCCCAGGCAACAGAGCAAGACACTATCTCAAAAAAAATAAGGAAAAAAGTTCCTTAGTTAACAATAATAAAAGATACCCGTGTGTTTCCTTGGTATTCATATAGCCAATGTCTCCTTTGTGAACTCTGGTCAGGCAAGACTTTTTCTTGAAGGAAATCCTTTTCCATAAATCTCCACTAAACTTTGAAATCTCCTGCTTAGATACATTCTGAGAACTAAAGATGATTCCTGAAAGTAATTTGTTATATGAGTAGGCAGAATCTTTTCACCTGACATGAAGCATTTCCTCTTAGGTCCTTACCTTTGAAGTGTAAATACAGTGTATCATTCAAAGCTGGGGTAATATAAAGCTTGTGCTGCTTGCAGAGTTTTTGCAGGGAACTTTTAGTCATTCTGTTAAAATGGAAAACATGAATAAGCTTATTGCAAATTGTCACTGTGAAATATATTCTCAGAGTTCTTTACCACATCCTTTCCTGCCAGAAATTCTACAACACCCTACATGCCTGATACCTATTTTAAGTTCTTTTTCTCTTTCTTCTGTTTCTTCTTTTCATAAAATAAGCCGATATAGTTTTCAGCCTTTTTTTTTTTTTTTTTTTTTGAGGTGGAGACCCACTTTATTGCCCATGCAATGGCGCGGTCTCAGCTCACTGCAACCTCCGCCTCCCAGGTTCAAGTGATTCTCCTGCCTCAGCCTCTGAAGTAGCTGGGATTACAGGCATGCACCACCACACCCAGCTAATTTTCATGTTTTTTGCAGAGATGGGGTTTCACCATGTTGGCCAGGCTGGTCTCAATCTCCTGACCTCAGGTGATCTGTTCACCTCGGCCTCCCAAAGTGCTGGGATTACAGGCGTGAGCCACCGCACCCAGCCTATTTTCAGCATTCTTAAAAATTGCAATGTATGTTCTTTTTTTTCCTTTTGAGACGGAGTTTCACTCTGTCACTTGGGCTGGAGTGCGGTGATGAGATCTTGACTCACTGCAACCTCCGCCTCGTGGGTTCAAGCAATTATCTTGCCTTAGCCTCCCAAGTAGCTGGTGTTACAGGTGCCTGCCGCTACATCCAGCTAACTTTTTGTATTTTTAGTAGAGATGGGGTTTTACCATGTTGGCCAGACTGGTCTCGAACTCCTGACCTTGTGATTCGCTCACCTCAGCCTCCGAAAGTGCTGAGATTACAGGCGTGAACCACCGCACCTGGCCTAAAAATTGCAATGTATATTCTAATAAAAATACTTTAAATGGTGTCACCAGGAACTACTGCTGCTCCTATTGCAGGTCTGGCTTTAAAGCTGAACAGAATGTGTGCTCAGCTGTGCGGGAGAGGCAGGGCCATCATCACTCCACTCTCAGACACAGGGCAGGCAATTCAATCTACCAGCCTCTATTTCCTTATCCGTACAAGTCGGTGATTATGCCATTTGCCTTACTTCATAAATGCACACTGATTTGCAGCATGCCCACGTACCTGGGGCTCTGATCTTCCCTGTCTTCTCTTGGGTGTGGGAAGTAACCATCTGATCCATTATCACCACTCTGTTTCTGCTGGCTTTGGGAGGATGTGTCAGAAGAACCCACACATGTTTCCTTAGGCTCATTAATGTCTTTAAAATAAAAGAGATCAGGTCTGCAGAGATCAAGATATATATCAAAAAATGTCCCCCAGCTTCAGTTTGGTTAAGGACCAACCACTTTTAGTATAGAATATCAGTATTCTTTAGTGGCTGGGCATGGTGGCTCAGTCCTGTAATCCCAGCTCTTTAGGAGGCTGAGGCAGGTGGATTACTTCAGCCCAGGTGTTTGAGACCAACCTTAGCAACATGGCAAAACCCCATCTCTACAAAAAATACAAAAATTAGCCAGATGTAGTGGTGCATGCCTGTAGTCCCACATAATTGTGGGGCTGAGGCAGGTGGATCACTTGAGCTCGGAAAGTTGAAGCTGCAGTGAGCCACGTTCACACCACTGCACGCCAGCCTGGGCAACAAAGTGATACCCTGTTTCACAAGAAAAGAGGGAAAAAAAAAGAACACCAGTAATCTTTAAATGTGTAACAATTTCTAAAGTACTGTCAATGATTGTGTAAATTTCACTACTAGGTACATCTTCTATAAAAACGCTTGTAACAGGTGCACAAGGAAACATGGACAAAGATATTTGTTTCTGCCTTTTTAATAAAAGCCAAAAACTATTAATGATGTAAATGTCCATCCATAGGGACTGTTTACATGAAACAATGACTTGTTCTTCTGCTTTTGAGAAGAATGCACTTGAACTACATCCATCTATACAGATAAATCTCAGAAACGTATATGGAGTGAAAAAAAGCAAGTTTCACAATAAGCACTGGAAAACATTTATATAAACTAAAAATATGCAAACCTGGCTGGGTGTGGTGGCTCACACCTGTAGTCTCAGCACTTTGGGACTAAAAATACAACAAAATTAGCCAGGCATGGTGGCACACACCTGTAGCACATTTTGGCTAAAAATACAACAAAATTAGCCAGGCATGGTGGCACACACCTGCAGTCCCAGCTATTCAGGAGGTTGAGGCAGAAGAATCACGTGAACCCAGGAGGGGGAGGTTGGAGTGAGCCGCGATTGCACCACTGCACTCCAGCCTGGGTGACAGAGTGAGACTCCATCTCAAAAAAAAAAAAAAAATATATATATATATATATATATATGTATGTATATATATATATACATGTGCATATACATATATGTATATATACACATATATTTTTTGAGATGAAGTCTCAAAAAATATATATATACACATATAGTATATATATATATATATATATATATATATATATATATATATATATATATGGAAACCAATGCTATGTGTTGTTTCGGGGCATATAGGTACAGAGAAGTGCTGGAAAGAATCCATATAAAATTTTGGACAAGGCAGGAAAGGAATGGGATTAGAAATGGGGTGGGGGAGAGAGAATAAAAGGAACACAAACTTTATGTGAAATTTATTTATTTATTTATTTTGGAGACAGTCTCACTCTATCCCTCAGGTTGGAGTGCAGTGGCAGGATCTTGGCTCACTGCAACTTCCACTTGCCAGGTACAAGTGATTCTCATGCTTAGCCTCCCAAGCAGCTGGGATTACAGGTGCCTGCCATCATGCCCAGTTAGTTTTTTTTTTGTTTTTTTTTTCAGTAGAGATAAGGTTTTGCCATGTTGGCAAGGGTGGTCTCAAACTCCTGACCTCAGGTGATCTGCCCTCCTCAGACTTCCAAAGTGCTGGGATTACAGGTGTGAGCCATCGCACTCAGCCTTATTCATTTTTATTTTTATTTATTTTGCAGAGGGGCTTATTTCTTTCATTAAAAAAGACTTCAAGTAAATATGATAAAATATTAATCATTTTCAGTTCTTAGGGGACAAAACATGGGTATTTGTTTTAATGTTCTTTGTTCTTCTGCCTTTTAAAAAATTTCTCAAGCAAAGTGTGGTGCAGCATGCCTGTAATCCCAGCTACTCAGGAGGCTGAGGCAGGAAGATCTAGCCTGGGCAACATAGTGAGATTCCATCTTTAAAAAAAATATGGCCAGGTGCGGTGGCTCACACATGTAATCCCAGCACTTTGGGAGGCTGAGGTGTGCAGATCACGAGGTCTGGAGATCGAGACCATCCTGGCCAACATGTAAAACCCCATCTCTACTAAAACAAAAAATTGGCTGGACATGGTGGCATGTGCCTGTAATCTCAGCTATTCGGGAGGCTGAGGCAGGAGAATCACTGGAACCAAGGAGGAGGAGGTTGCAGTGAGCCAAGATCACACCACTGCACTCCAGCCGGGCAACAGACCTAGAGTCTTCTAAAAAAAAAAAAAAAAAAAAAAAAATCCTCAAAAGGAAAATCACTTGAAAAGAAACAAAAATTGTGAGAATATCTTTTATAAAAAGAAAATGAGCACATTGAAATGAATACTTTTTTTCAAAGGTCATTCCAAATTGGCCAATTCAACTGCACTTAACATTAAGAGCTCTGGTCTGCTGCTTTCTGTGTGTTTGTGTGATCTATTGAACAAGACTAAACGCTCTGTGTGTAGGGAGTGTGTCTTAAACTCATCAATTTTGCGTAGAATGCCCAGCCACAGGAAGCTGCAGACAAATGTGGAAAAAGTAAAGAATAAATGCTCAACATATTAATATACGTAATCAATTAATAGCAAGAGCTACCATTTAATAATGGCCCACCATATGCTGGAACATTTAGTTATAATTATTTCCATATATTCCCTTATAATTATCCCAGCTTACAGATGAGGAGACTAGGGCTCAGAGAGGTTAAGCTCTGGGCCAACAGCCATACAGCTGATTAGCTGCTGACGCTCCACCTGAACCCAGTATCAGTGGCTCCAAACCTGGTGTCTTCCCACTGAGCCATGCCAGTTCCCTATGGCTCTTCACCCAAGGTTTGTAGGGACAGATGATGCTTAAGATATATTTGTTGCCTGGAACACAAATCAGCTGCTTTATTTGTTGCCTCGGTTCAGAAGCTGGAACACAAATCAATTATTTTTTAATCTAATCACTAAAAGGCTTCCCTTCGGGCACCAAGTCTTGTGGGAAGCAGAAGCTGAAGCCCACCTTTAAAAAAAATTATTTATTTATTTATTTATTTAAGACAGAGTCTTGCTCTATCACCCAGGCTGGAGTGCAGTGGTATGATCTTGGCTCACTGCAACCTCCGCCTCCCTTCAATCTCCGCCTCCCAGGTTCAAGCGGTTCTCCTAACTTAGCCTCCCAAGTATCTGGGATTACAAGCACACATCACCACGCCTTGCTGATTTTTGTATTTTCAGTAAAGACAGCGTTTCGTTATTTTGGCCAGGCTGATCTCAAACTCCTGACCTCAGGTGATCCACATGCTTCGGCCTCCCAAAGTGCTGGGACTACAGGCGTGAGCAACCGCGCCTGGCCATGAAGCTGATCTTTTAAGTCCATTCTGTCAAACTCTAGTGAGGGGGTCCCAGAACCACAAAGTCTTCATTCAGACTCTCTGCCTTAGGCCAGGCACTGAACTAGACTCCAAATTCAATCAGGATGTGTTTCGCTGACACAACATGCAGTCTGGAAGGGGAGAAAGCCTTTGATCTTACGTGGTCACAGACTCGCGCCCATCCGAGTCTGTTCTGTCACTGACTAGCCGAGGATGATCTGTTTGGAGCAAGTTTTATAACCTCTGAAGTATCTGTTTCCTTCCACGTACCAACTGGGGAGAGAAGCCCCTACTGCAGAGCGTTGTTTGGTACCTTATTACTGTTATTCTTTAGCTGTGAAGATCGGTTATGTGGTGTGGAAGGAGGCTGGAGCGCCCAGCCGGGTCGGCCCGTCTCCACCCGCCCTCCCCGGGGGGCGGTCGGCACCTTTGCAGCAGCCCCCTAGGCCTGCGCTCTCGTGGTCACCCGCAGACTCCTCCACGCCGGGCTCCTGCGTGCAGTCCAGCTTCGCTGCCCCATCCGCCGCAGGCTCCGAGGGCTCAGGGTGCATGTTCACTTCTGCGCCACCGAACGCCCCGCAGCTGTGGGGAGCCCAGTTCCGCCGCGGACGTTGCTACCGTCCCTAGCCCAGCCGGAGACTCCCCGCTTTCCTTCCTCGCCAGCCTCTGGCGCCCCAGTTATTACAGCTCAACGCTTTCCGGGTCGCCAAGGCAACCTCCGCGCACGCGCACTCGGGACGCGCGCGCTGGGGACGCCGGAGACGGGCCCTGCGACGGCTCCGCCCTCGGCGCGTGCGCGGGTCACGTGGGGGTGCGGCCAGGCGGCAGCTGAGGCTGCGGAGACGGGGGCGGTGGCCGCGCGGGTCTGGCGGGACCGGTTTAGAGGACCACGCCGCCTTGCAGGTATCGCGCCCCCTGCGCCCTGGGTGCCCTCTCGCGGCCCTTCCGCCCCAGATCCCTCCTCGGTCTCCGTAGCGCCAGCCGGCTGCTCGGCCCGACCCCTCTGAACTCTCACCACGCCCCCGGGGCCCCGGGCTCCCTCCGCGCCAACCGGCCCCGAAGCCCGTGGCGCTGGGGACCCCAGGAAATCTTCGTCCCTTCCTCCCGTGAGACTCCCTCTTTCCAGACCAAACACCCCGGCCCCGCCCCTTCACATCTCAGAGCTCCCCTTCCCCCGGCTCCATCCCCACGCCCTCCACCGCGGCGCTGCAACCCCTTCTCCCTTCCCCCGGGCCCCGCGCCCCAAACCCCGGACCCTGTGGTGGCCGGCGCGCGCCCTGCTCTCCCTGCAGCCTCTCACACGACTCCTCCCCCGAGCGGCTCCGGCAGTCGCCTCCTTTGTCGGTGCTGTTTTATTCTCCTTTATAAACGATTTGGCTTGAGTTGTTGCTGTGTTTTTCTAAAATGGAAGTAATTCAGAATTATCGAGCTCCTAAAGAAAGGGCACGCCGATTCCTCTTGAAGCGGTCGTGGGTTCAGCCGGGATTTCCGAGTTTGCTTGTGTTGACTGGGCCTTGCCGGGTGCTGGAGCGAAAGGGCTGGGAACACGAACCAGGCAGGTCCCTGTTCTCCTGAACGTGCCGCCCAAACACAGCCGGGGAAAGCAGGACTCTGCAGCGCCCCTCGGCGATCCCAGCAGGATGTGTATAGGTGACTGCGAGGCTTGTCTGGGAGTCTCACAGCGGGCTCCCTGGCCAGGACGCTGCGCCTTGATAGACCTCCATCTACACGGCAATCAGCCCTTTCTGAGTCGTGGCGTCCTGGGTATACTACTTTACCTCTGTAAGCCTCAATTTCCCTATCTGTAAACGGGAGCGTCTGACTGTGCTTTATAAGGGTAATGAGAGAATAAAGTGAGACAATAGGATAAAGCACTTAGCAGAGTCTTTGGCATAAAGTGAGCTCTCAGTTTTACTCTGACCGCCATAGATACCCAATAGCTAATGTCAAGCACAGTAATTGTGGCTAGTAGCTTAGGTCTGTTGAGCACTCCAGGAAGGACACTGTTCTAAGTGCTTTCTATGGACCACCTCATTTTGTTCTTTTTGTAGTTCTTAGGCAGGAACTGTTAACCCTTGTACAGGTGATGTGAGCAACGTGCAGAGGCAAAGTAAACTTCGCTCAGGACACACAGCTCTTAAATGGGAAGCTGGATTTTCAACCCAGGCAGGCTCCTTTCGGAGTGTGTGATTGATTGATTGAAGTAGTCTCGCTCAGTCGCCCAGGATGAACTGCAGTGGTGCCTGCGAGCTCGCTCACTGCAACCTCCCCCACCTGGGCCCAAGCGATTCTGTGCCTCAGCCTCCTAAGTAGCAGAGATTCCAGGCACGTGCTACCACACCCAGCTAATTTTCTTTTCTTTTCCTTTTTTTTTTTTTTTTTTAAGTAGAGATGGGGTTTCGTTGCGTTGGTCAGGTTAGTCTTGAACTCCTGGCCTCAAATGATCTGCCCACCTTGACCTCCCAAAGTTCTGCGATTACAGATGTGAGCCACTGAGCCCTGCCGAGTTTGTGGTTTTAATCACTGCAGGAATATTCTAGGGGCACAGAGTTAAACAGATTGGTGCTACTTTTTTTTTTTTTAAGTAGGTTTTTAAAAATTGAAATAAAATTCACACAACATAAAATTTATCATTTTGCCTATTTTATTTATTTATTTAATTTATTTATTTATTTATGAGACGGAGTTTCGCTCTTGTTACCCAGGCTGGAGTGCAATGGCGCCATCTCGGCTCACCGCAACCTCCACCTCCTGGGTTCAGGCAATTCTCCTGCCTCAGCCTCCTGAGTACCTGGGATTACAGGCACGTGCCACCATGCCCACCTAATTTTTTTGTATTTTTAGTAGAGACGGGGTTTCACCATGTTGACCAGGATGGTCTCGATCTCTCGACCTCGTGATCCACCTGCCTCGGCCTCCCAAAGTGCTGGGATTACAGGCTTGAGCCACCGCGCCCGGCCATTTTGCCTATTTTAAAGTGTACATCTCGGTAGTTTTTTGTTTTGTTGTTGTTGTTGTTGTTGAGATGAAATGTCACTCTGCTGCCCAGGCTGGCGTGCAGTGGTGAGATCTTGGCTCATTGCAACCTCCACCTCCCAAGTTCAAGCAATTCTGCCTCAGATGCATGAGTAGCTGGGATTACAGATGTGCACCACCAACACCTGGCTAATTTTTGCATTTTTAGTAGAGACAGGGTTTCATGATGTTTACTAGGCTGGTCTCGAACTCCTGACTTCGGATGATCCACCCACCTTGGCCTCTCAAAGTGCTGGGATTACAGGTGTGTACCATCACGCCCCGAAACTCAGTAGTTCTTACTATATTCAGAATCTATGCAGCCATCACCAGTAACTTAATTCCAGAACATTTCATCACCTGCAAAAGAAACCCCAACCTCATTAGCAGTCACACTCCTTTTCCCCCTTCCCCTCTCCCCAAGCAGCCCTAACTTATCTTCAGTCTGTATGGATTTGCCTACTCTGGACATTTCATACAAGTGGAAACATAAGATACATGGCCTTTTGTGTTTGCTTTCTGTCCCTTAGCACAATGTTTTCAGGGTTTATCCATGTACCATGTGTGGGTACTTTATGCTTTTTTTTTTTTTTTTTTTTTTTTTTTGAGACAGACTTTCGCTCATGTTACCCAGGCTGGAGTGCAATGGCATGATCTCGGCTCACCGAAACCTCCGCCTCCTGGGTTCAGGCAATTCTCCTGCCTCAGCCTCCTGAGTAGCTGGGATTACAGGCCCGAGCCACCATGCCCAGCTAATGTTCTGTATTTTTAGTAGAGATGGGGTTTCACCATGTTGACCAGGATGGGCTCGTGATCCACCCGCCTCAGACTCCCAAAGTGCTGGGATTACAGGCTTGAGCCACCACACCCAGCCCACTTCATGCCTTTTTAATGGCTGAATAATATTCCTTTGTATGGATAATACCACATTTTGCATATTCATTTACTGATGGGACAGAATCTCGTTCTGTCACCAGGCCCCAGGCTGGAGTGCCTTGGTGCAATCTCAGCTCACTGCAGCCTCTGCCTCCAGCTTCTAGCAATTCTCCTTCCTCAGTCTTGGAGTAGCTGGGACTAACAGGCGTGCACCACCATGCCCAGCTAATTTTTGTATTTTAGTAGAGATGAGGTTTCACCATGTTGGCCAGAATGGTCTTAATCTCTGTGATCTCCTGATCCGCCTACCTTGGCTTCCCAAAATGCTGGGATTACAGGCATGAGCCACCACGCCTGGCTAATTCTTTTTTTTTTTTTTTTTTTTTTTCTGTTTTGAGACGGAGTCTCACTCTGTCACCAGGCTGTAGTGCAGTGGTGTGATCTCAGCTCATTGCAGTCTCAGCCTCCTGGGTTCAAGTGATTCTCCTGCCTCTGCCTCCCGAGTAGCTGGGACTACAGGTGTGCACCATCACGCTCAGCTCATTTTTTTTTTTTTTGAGATGGAGTTTCGCTCTTGTTGCCCAGGCTGGAGTGCAATGGCATGATCTTGGCTCGTGGCAACCTCTGCCTCCCAGGTTCAAGCAATTCTCCTGCCTCAGCCTCCCAAGTAGCTGGGATTACAGGCATGCATCAGTACGCCTGGTTAATTTTGTGTTTTTAGTAGAGGCGGAGTTTCTGTATGTTGGTTAGGCTTGTCTCAAACTCCCAACTTCAGGTGGTCCGCCTGCCTCAGCCTCCCAAAGTGCTGGAATTACAGGCGTGAGCCACCACGCCTGGCCAGCCGGCTAATATTTTGTGTTTTAGTAGAGACAGGGTTTCACTGTGGCTAGGATGGTTTCCATCTCCTGGAGTGCTAGGATTATAGGTATGAGCCAGTGCACCTGGCCTATTTTAATTCTTACTGCACAAATACTGACATGACATTGAGGAGTCTTGGATCTTGGATGAGAATCCAGGTTTCTAATTCTATGTTGCTGTTCTTTTAGCTCAGCTTCATTGTGCATTTAGTCCTGTACCAAAAATTGGCAGTGAAGGTAAAGAAACCCCAAAAAGTCATGATACACCAATACTAACTTTGTCAAAGTGCTGACAGAAAGTATGAGAAGCTTCTTAAATTTTTTCTCAAGAGTGAAATTTGAGCTTTGAACACAAAGCACTATTTGATTCTGTTTATTAAATAAAATTGTCTACATAGCAACGTGTCAGGTGCTGAGGAGGAATATTAAATGTTAAATTTAATATTAAATCCCTCCCAGCCTCACACCATCACAAAGCACCAGGTGGATTAAACACTTAAACTGAAAAAGCAAAACTATAAAATTTATAGAAAATAATTCAAAGAGAATTCTTCATGACCTGAGGCTAAGGAGGGATTTCTGAAATAAAACATAATGAGTGCAAACCCTAAAGGAGAAAGATTGATTGCATTTGTCTACTTCAAATTTAAGGCGGTCAGCCAGGTATGGTGGGCCATACCTGTAATCCCAGCACTTTCGAAGGCCCAGGTGGGCAGATGACTTGAGGCCGGGTGTTTGAGACCTGCCTGGGCAACATGACGAAAACCTGTCTCTACAAAAAAAAAAAAAAAAAAAAAAAAATTAGCTGGGCTTGGTGGTGCGCACCAAGCCCACGTAGTCCCAGCTACTTGAGATGCTGAGGTGGGAGAGTGGCTTGTGCCCGCAAGGCAGATGTTGCAGTAAGCTGTGATTGTGCCACTGCATATCAGCTTGGGCAATAGAGCCAGACCTTATCTCAAAGTAATGACACCTTTAGTTCATCAAAGACACTATAATGAGACACAAAACATACAGAGAGCTAGTATCTAGAATATCTAAAGAATTCTTAAAATTCTGAGAGAAAAAGAAGGAAAGGACAAAAGATAGGAATGGGTATTTCTTAGATCACAAAACACACACAGCACATACATAGAAAAAGGACTGCAGCCTTATTAG